GCTAAGCTTTTTAACTCTGACGCATCTGCTAGTCCGTTGTTGGGTCATGCAGTTATTCTTTTTTATCTCTCTTTCATGTTGTAAATTTCAGTAACTTTCAGCATTGATATCTATGTTATCAGATAGTTACATTTTTATTTTCAAGCTTTATATAAGTACTTTGATTGTTGAAAAAACGTTTGCACGCATAATCTTCATGTCATTTAACTTTTAGATACTCGGTTGATGTATTATTAGACAAGAATTTGATCAACAAAGACGTCCTGAAGGAGCCTGGGAAAAAACGACGAGCTCGAATGGAGGTTAAAAAGAAGTTTGAAGAACGGTATAAAACTGGCAAGAATAGATGGTTCTTTACTAAATTACGCTTTTGAAAATATTTGCTGTTATTTTGTTGGTTCACTAGCAATATGAGGAAGGAAATTTCGTTGGAGTGTAGCTAAACTGTTAGCTTATCAGATTGACGTATAACATATTGATTTGAATTACCCTGCTATACTGCTGTTGATTCTTTAAAAAATTTCTGAGCTATTTTTATAAACATTTACAACGTCATCAGCTTAGTAGCCGTACGTGTTCACTTTTACATAGCCATTTGAGCAGCGGTATCACTAGCATCATCCACTTTGTGATTTTTTTTTCTTAAAATTTTCTGACCTATTCTTATAAACATGATTTTTCTAAAGTTTTCTTATAAACATTTTACAATGTTGTCAGCTTGACACTCACATGTATTCACTACTATAGCCACACTTAAATAGCGGTATCTGATAGTACATCATCTATGTTGTGATTGTTGATTTCATTAATAGTCATGTATAATCTTCATGTATGTGGAATCACAGGAACTGTGTTGGCTTCACTACTGCTAGCGGTTGCGCTCTAATAATTACCACAGTTGTATCACCGAAAATATCTGGTTCGAAATCTGATTCGAGTCTCTTACATTCGAATAGAATTCTTATTGTTTTACGAATGATCTAGGTTTTGCGCTGATTGAAAGTCGAAACTCCAACACTTTCACACCTTACATAGTTGAGTCTCAGCTGTGAGCCGATGGTTAGAATATTCTCCTTCTTCAGATATCCTGTTGAAGTCTTACTGAATCTTATTGCATGATCTAAAAAAAAAAGCGAACAGAGGTGGAAGCTATTTTCTCAGATTCCTCACTATGTGGCGTATAAATTTTTAGGCTTGTTTGTCCATCATTTCTGAACACATTGTGCATATTAATTCTTTAACTTCGTTATCTTTATGATATTTTATTTTATCCCCCAATAGTTCCTAATTTATTTCATAAAAGCTTCACATATGACCCTTTATCAATGCGGCTAGTTGTGCCTATCTTTGAACTTTGAGCTTTTTTTTTTTCACACATTTCATAGCTAACACTTCGACGATCAATGCTGTGTTTCTCTTTCGAGTGTCATAGCGTTTATGCAAAATATGATCATATAGTAATAATAATATAAAATCAAAACAAGAAAATTTCTTATCCAAGCTATAAAATGAAAAATAAGAAAAACACGCATACAGAGATATATACTGAATTTGCAGCGCGGAGGAGAAAGAAATGACGAAGGGATTTAATAAAAAAAAAGGAAAAATTGTAAACAAAATTCTGACCAGAAGGTATCGAGTATCGCCACAACTGATCGAATAAGCAGAAATAGGTGATTAACCGAGGTTTCATGAAGATTTCATGTAACATGTATGAGATAAAGAAGTCTCACTATCATTGCTTAATTAATTTGGACCAGTCCCGTTTAGTGTAGACAGTCTCTGATGAATGAGGCTTTCAGAAAAAAGAAAAAAAACTGCACAAGAAGGTGCTCTCGAAAAACGATTCAAGGCTTTCTTGACATTTAATTTTGCAGCTGGAGGAAGAGCTACATAAGTTATGTGTTATCTAAAAGTTTGAAAATATTTGTGGCCAAGAAAGAGACGTCAAGATGGCACATGAGCGAATGGTCACCAATACAGAATTCCAGAAAAAAATTTTTTTTTTTCTGCAAAAGAAAATGCATAAAAGAAACATATGCAATGGAGAAATGAAGGGATGAAAAGAAAAGAAAAGAAAAAAAAAACAAATAAATATTTGTGAAAAAAGATCATTCGATAAAACACTGCTTGTAATTATTAACCATAAATGTGATATTTATGATCAAATAATTACAACCAAGATAAGAGGAGAAAAACACATGGAGCAAATCAATAAAATTGAAAAGGAAAATTTTCCTACTGAAATTTCATCGTAAAGTGTTTAGAAATTTGATAACTGCAAAACGAATTTTCTGATAGCAGATACGTTTAAATTGATAATTATTTCGTGATGTAAAAAAAAAAAAAAAAGTTACACATATTGCAACAATTGCACCTAAATAGCAAAATTTTTAAAAAAAAGCAAAAAAAAAAGAAAAAAAAAGTATGCTATGTAATAGAACTCCTATGTTTAATGTAAATCATATAACCAACAAATAATGTTGTTATATGATTAAAAGAGTGAAATAAATAAAGGAACAAATGAAAGAGAAAAAAAAATAATAATAATAGAAAATTAAAATATATATTATGAGCAGTGAGCAAAAATATTGCTTTTCTCTCTCTCTCTCTCTCTCTTTCTCTCTCCACTGTTTAAATTAAAGTAAGATTTGAAAACTTCATTTTTTCTTTTTTTCGTTTTTTTTTTTCTTTCTCTTTCCCTTTCTACTATCAATTTATTGCTTTCAAATTTTGCTCCAAAAATTTCCTAATGCAATCCTTTGCTACCGTTCTTTTTGGTTAACAATTTATGCAAATTAACCATACAATATATTCAAATTCTAAACAAAATTCCACGGATTATATTACACCGTAAGATAAATGATAACACTTTGAACATTATTTCATCGTCGTTTAATAAAAACAAAATTTTGGCAGGATTTTGTAGAAAGAAAAAGAAAATAAATTTTCCTTTCTTCACAAGAAGCACAATCATAAATGTCACAAAGAACAGTTTAAGGTTAAATTGTCTGAAAAGAAAAACAGTGTTAGGCAAAATTGCTCGTTGGATCTATTCATGAAATTTGCTTTCGATGCAAACTAAACTATACGCTTCTTTCTATAATTGGAATGGTAAACACTGGAAAGTTTGTAATATCAAATATGAGAATTAAGACTTATCCAATAAACAAAATACACCCGAAATTTGTGAAAAAAAAAAAAAAAAAAAAGTTACTCGAGAAGTTCTGGATAAAAAAACTATTCGTTTTCCAAGGAAGAAAAAAGAAAAAAGTGCTTTCTTTAAGAGATTTAAAACTTCAACCACTCAATTATCCGGGTAATTGATTAATTAAATGAACAAAAAAAAAAAAAACCGGAACAAATAATCAAAACGTTGAACGGCAGCAGGATAACAGGAATAATGACAACTACCAGTCACTAAATTTGCTAACAATAATAATAATAATAATAATTGGTAAGATGAATTAATGGATCATTATCATTATCGTTATTATTATCAGAATCAATCGATTCAATTTCCCATTTGAAAAACTACCAAACGCAACTTATGAAATCATCAGACATACATCTTTTCATATCAAGATTAAGCTTTTCTGTTCTCGTCATAAGTATGACACTGATGATAATGAAGATGACGATCACGATAACGTAGTGATGGTGATCACATGCAAAGGATTGAACTAAAAATCAGAAACCCAGAGAAAGAATCATTTTTTTTGAGAAATCTATGCTCAATTTGTGATCTATTTCATTCTTCAGTTATTTGCATTTAACCGATTTTAACTAAGTAACAAACTAAATTTCCATCTTTTTATAAAACCAAATATTCCATGAGGAGTATAATACTACTGCTAAAAAAAAAAAAAAAAAACAAAGACTAGACAAATTTTTCAACATATTAAAGCCAAGCATAATTCAGATAAAATTACTAGGAATTGCAAAATCAGAAATAAAGAGAACAACGGATGGATGATTATTCACCTGGATACTGACATACTAAGCTAAGTCAAAAAAAAAAAGGATATCAAAAAATGAAACCTTACAGAAATAAATCATCATGAATGACTTCATACATTTCAATTCTATCCTTTCTAAAAGGGATTCAAAAAATAATTTTTGTTGAAATAGTTAACGGTTACATCATCCACTCACCATTATTATCCAGAAAAGACAATGATCGTATCAGAGAGATAAAAAGTTGAAAATCTTAAAAATTTTTCAGTTGAAAAATTTTGGAATTCAAATGTAAAAATAATCACAATTTAAATTGCCAAAAAAAAAAATTTTGGTTTTCACAAAGATGAACTGAGATACTGGAAGAAAATAAAATTAACACTATTTCCATTCGAAGTTTATATAATGGAAGAATGCTGCAAAAATTTTCACGTGAAAAGGGAAAACAGGAGAAGGGAGAACAAATATCGAATCAACGAACGAAACAAACATTTGAACAAACCAAAATACTTTCACGTGATGATAACGCTACTGAACGTTAAGAACCGTTAATGACCCGTTATCACAGATATGCAAAAGGTGACAAATATATTGAACACATCGCGTCAAACAGTCCGACAGCTTGGACTCATGCTATACTGTGCTATGCCTCACATTGCCGAATTTAGGGAAATCAAACAAATCACACCACAAATCAACAACATACCTTTTGTTTTTCTTCTTTTAAAACAAAAACAAAAACAAATAAACAGTAACACCGAGTAAAAGTAATTACAACAGTGGTTGTCATAACACTGATTGTTGAAGCACTACTGTAGTAGCAGTTACGGTAGCATTAGTCTTATCGCAATAGCATCAGTAGTTGAAGCAGTAGTAATTGTAACAGAAGCAAGTACATCAAGCTGGAACGTAATCGCAGTGAATATTTTAAAAGGCATTTGTTACACGCGTACACCTAAGAAATATACTTTATAAAAGAGAAGAGATAATGACGATGATAATGATAACGATAATGATCGTGATAAAAACTATCGTTCATGGGGTCACACTAAATTATACTCTTTTAAATTGTGCTGTAATATTGTATCCTTCACTGCCGCGAATACGAAACGTATATTTTCCGTATCTGAAAATAAGACATAAATTACAGAAATTCAGATTCAACTTCAAGCAAATTTCTCTCCTCTGCTCACTACGACTAAAACAATGTCAGCCAAATCTCCTCATCAAAATGAAATTGAAAAGATTGTTTTTTTTTTTTTTTTTTTTCGGAAATATGGCATTATATATCCCAATAATCCAAGAACGTAATAATAGCAAGACTATTTGTGACAAGTTCGATGTCCCAGTAACTCTAGAAGAATAGCATCATTTTTAAAGTTACAATGTTTTTCTTTGATGGAACACTTCCTACATAACTCAGCAAGTAGGAGATAAACAAAATGAAAGTGACTAACCCGTAGCACAAGTGAAATGTGAATAAATGATTTTATCAGCATCCGGATTTAAATCAACAAACATTTTTAAAATGAATTCTCTCGCTGCAATAGGATCCCTTGAAGGACCTGAAAATTACTTTGCTTTACAAGAAAAAAAAAAAAAAATTAAGTTCTTGAAAACACCGTTGTTACATCATTTTGGTTATAATAGCCAAAAGGCAACGATCACTGAAGTAAGCACAACGATTATCACGCAATTTCAAAATCTGAGTTCAATGCACTTCTTTGAACTTACATTCAACTGATCAAAAAATGAATTCAGACAGTCATTGGAGGCAGCAAATTTTATTTATGCTCTTCAAGAAATTTTTACTTAACTTACGACAGAGCTATAGTATCATACAATATACTACTAAATCTCCGGAAAAACTTGAACTCATACATTCTTTTTCATCGTTTATACACATCACGTTATATTACAGAAAACTGCTTACTCGTCTGTTCCGTCGTTGCACAAGAAAATTATAACAATTTAAATCTTTACAGTACTACTAAATTACTATAACAGAAAATATATCTTATGTTACATAATAACTGACAGTTTCCCAACAATCAGAACAACAAACCATCATATTCCGGAAAATAATCAACGAGATGCGAATAAAGTATTTTCTCTTCCAGGAGATCTCTCTTATTGAGAAATAAGATTACCGATGAATTTGTAAACCATGGATATGTGATAATCGTTCGGAATAGTGCCTTCGATTCTTCCATACGATTCTGAAATTTCTCTTACATATTCGATTATAAAAAGATGAGGAAGGCTCATCATACTTAGATCTAACTCATGCAATTTCATTTTTCTACATACATTTCCATTCTAAGCAGGTTTTTCCAAATTATATTGCAAGTGAAACTTTTCATGACCAGAAAAGACTTTAGATTTTATTTTCGAAATAACTAAAAGATTCTGATATGCATCAAAGTGATCAGAATGTAAAGATATAAATACGTGAAGCATCTCAAAATCAACAAAATCAAATGAAGGAAAGAAAGCAAAAAAGATAACAACAATACGCCATCTAAAATAAACAAACAACAATATGCTTTTCATCCTCTCCAGTTGTCTCTCCCAAAAAAAAAAAAAAAAAAAACTATCTATTTATCAATAAAATTAACTAATTATCGAATTTTGTAACATAAATGGCACAGAAAAAATTCTTTTATTGTTCAGAAAATCTAACATTATATATAGGACGTGAAAAATATTTAAGTGTCCATTAAAACATGGAAATTTGACAAGTTTCTCTTCTACTTTCTCAAGTTGTTGTTCATTATACTTCAATAAAATGAACATTTAAAAATAAAATGAAAAAAGAAAAAAAAAAAAAAACGTAATTAATTATTATATTATTATAGATCAAAGGTAATACTTTTGCTTAACTTTGTTTTATTGTTCATCTATGCTTTTTGATCACTCCATGGCCTTCTTATTCATTCCTATTCCAGGAAGTCAAATGAATTAGATAAACTCAGTATTGTGAGGAAACAAAATTACTGGCATTTGAGTACTTTTTATCATAACTGAGCAAATTATGTTAAAGATATACATATAATGTTCTAGCGTAACGCTGTAGAATATTTAATAAAGTAACCAAAACCATAGTATCGGAACGATATAAAATGCCTATAGAACCGAGTTACTTTGGAAACGGCTGAAAACTTAAATATTAAAAAGTTATCAAATAATTTGGCAGTTATTATCTTACTGTTTTTTTTTTAATAATTTTAAAATCACCCTGAAAGTTACATCTATTTATGTTGCCATCAGAATATGCAACATTGAGAACAGATGCTTTCTAATGTGCTTAAACAGCATGCTAATCTCTTCATAAGTATGTTCACATTTCATAGTCATCTACCAGGATAATTCCTGGGATTATCTCTCGACAATCATAAAAGTTTCCATATGAGAATGCGTAAATTGTCTCATCACCAGTAATATATGGATAAACATCGATATATGAATATAAGCTATAAAGCACATCTCTACAAAACAGTTCTATATTCAGATGACATAAACTGTCAGAGATGACACAAAAATAACAACACATCAATCAGCCCAAAATAAGTTCAAGATGACGAAAAAGGGAGGAAAAACATGCTATCTTTGCATTTTCCTATTCTTGTCCAAATCGTTTATGAAATGATTTTTTTTTATTTCATAGTTTAAATAATAACTACAGATTGCAGCATTCCGGAACTTTGAATTCTGTCTAGTTCCATTTTTATTCGCTCCCTTCTCAACTTACGATCTTTTCTGGAAGTTTCCAAAGATTATAACAAAAAGATTGCCCAAGATAATCATTCATACTTTCCTCCTAATGCTAAGCCACTATCTTCATATTTTTTTCATTTCAAATTTGTTTCATACTCATATTTGTTCATGCAGATAGAAACTCAGGAATGGGTAACAAATAAACTATTTCCCAATTACCAATATCATCTGACCAATCTTACTATCGAAATGATGTTATGCGATCATTTTTGTCACCTAAATTCAAAGTAAAAAAGTAAAATTACAATCAGGAGAAATTTTTCTAACAATCACAAAGTACTTATCATTAAAACTATAAAAATGCAAAAAAAAAAAAAAAAAAAAGAATACTCTACCATTTTCTATTTTCCTTTATTCATAACTTAGCAAAAGCGTTTGCTAAATTTTAAAAATTCCCAAACATTCTCAACGCCTCTTTACAAATTTTGCAAAATTTAAAATTTCCTAAAAAGTCACCCGCCATTTCCACAGTTCTGTATTAAATGCACTTCATACGCAATGTAGATAAAAGTTAACAGATGATTAAACTGTTTATGAAATCAATTTTCACACATGGACATTCCAGATCTGTCGGGTTCCATTTGAAGTGTAGCATTTTCACTAGATTCCTTGAATTAATGTAATTTAAGAAAGCTTACTTCATTATCACATTCGACAAGCACTTGATCATATTCAGAAAGGGCTACTAAAAACATGATTGATGTTACATTTTCAAAACAGTGTATCCATTTTCTTCGTTCCGACCTTTGACCACCTACATCAACCATTCTGAAACGATCTTTTCTAAAACTTTTAAAATTATTTCACAAATTTATCATGCTAAGTACTGTACTTTGCTTCACTGAAATTGTTGTAAAGAAAGAAAAACTTGATCAAAAATTCTATTATTTCAGAAATTCGAAGCAACTATGACTTTAATAAATTTATAGGACAGGGATTAAAAGAACATCAAATCACCTGAATATTATTTGTTCCAAATCAAAAGGATATTCAATAATACCAGTAGTAGGAACACGAACACGAAGAATATCCTGCTCTGTTGGCAGGTAATCAGATGCTGCTAGCCTCCTTAGATCGGATAGGTAGCTATACGAAAATTGAAATTTAATTTAAAACAACAAGAATAATAGTCATCAATTGCAGCTTCAATTACATTGAGGATTAAAATGAATCGTAATATGATTAGTAATCTTTTCAAAATAGACATTGGCCAAAACGAGGGATCAATTTTAACTCTTTTGGTGTTCTTCTACATTACCATAAATTAATAGGATTAAGAAAATAAGCAGATAATTAACGTTATATGTTGCCTTAATGTTAGACAGAAATAAATCATAAAATCTTAGAGATGATACAAAATAAAAGTGTTCCTAATGACCATCAGATAAATTTATGTTATGCAGCGAGTGAAATTAAGTGGTAAAATAGTTTGCCATCATGTCACAAAGAATTTTCATGTAAAACACATAAATCTTACTATTTAGCAGAATCGGTTAACTGATATTCCCTTCGCCGGTCATAACACTCCTGAATACCGGAATCGCTCCATAAATCTTCTATATAACTAACATATGGTTCTTCGAATGAAGTCACATTCTCATAATCTATTGCCCGTACTACATTCGCTTTGTCTTGTAACTGCAGCAAAGTTATTATTTCCTTACTGTTAGAAAAAAAAGAATCTGTTTCGTAAGCTGATTACTTCTTTAACAAACTTTATATAATAACAAGCTTTCACAAGCATCTAAAAATTCCTACAAATCCGGAATCTAAATATAACCAATTCTAACATACCGAAATCATCGTTCATCATTCATCCATGAATAGAGGAAAAAAAAAAAATGAAGGAACTTTTGTAATTTTTTAATGTTTGCTAAATAAAGAAGGAAAAGAATACATCAGAAGATTGATCGCCATATGGAATATTGAGCGTATCCATGGCACGAATCATAGCCTGGATCGCCATGAAAATATTTTGATACACGAGGCGGATATGAGCACGCTTGTCTTCATCGGAATAACCATTTCCATGAATAATTCGCATCTGTTTAATAAATGTTGACTTCCCTGACTCACCAGTACCTAAAAATTGAAAATAACTTTTCACACCAATACGCGAAATACATCCAAAGGATATTAGCATACTATTATCTCATCCTTATTCATCACCATCGAGAAAAAAATTCGTCTAAGTAAAACTTAAGATATATCATTAAACGAATTCAAAATATGCAGTTATATAAGTATTTAATATTACAAATTCGATATATAATCTTTTTTTACTTCGATGTTTTTTCTTACTAATGTCCTTTTCTTCCCAAGAAATGTTCCTGGCAAGACAAAGTTCGAATTTGCCATTTCAGTTAGGAAATAGCGCATGCAGAGACGTTTGAAAAACATACTGTCAGTCAGAGAAATTTAATAATTCTGCAACCAACTGCAAAAATTAGATCCTTTTTTCCATAACAATTACATAATTGTAGAATGCAAGAATTTCTTTCAAAGCAATTCTTATAAATTCGTATATTATAGCGACGAAATGGATGGATTTTCTAGATGAGTTAATATTTTCTTTCATTGTATTATAATACATACATTTTTTTCTAATTTTTCATCAAAATACTATGTAACATTCTGGTAACCTTCTAAATTCATAACCAGTATCATCTCCTATTTTATGGCAAATCGAAATTAGTAGTTCATTATTAAATCGATTCTTCCCACATAACCAAAAATGTTTGACCAACTATGAGAAAAACAATTCATTTTTATTATGTTTCGAATTTATTTCAAAAATTAAATGCCAGCTGAATGAATCTCAGTCCTATACGGGAAAATGAAAATATTTCACATTTAGACTAAAAAGCTTTGCATCCAAAAATTTTTAAATTAAAAAAAAAAAAACTTTTCATAGACAAAAATAACAAAAAACAAAAAAAAAAAAAAAAAAAAGGAAAGAAATGTCACTACAAATTATGTTTAAAAAATCAAAAAAGAAAAGTAGACTCAGCATTAACATCGCATATAATCTTCGCTATTTATTTCAGGGATTTAATTTTATCCCCGAATCGATACACTTATGATTTCAGCTTCAGATTTGAGTAATTTACTCCTCTATTTGTATTTCTTAATTTCATTTAGTTATTTTACTCAATTTAATGAAATAGAATGCCCTAAAATTTGATTTAGCGTAGTGTCATATTAGAATAGTCAATTCTCGTTTCCGAATTAATTTTCATGAGTTTTTTTCTCTAAATGGACTATTCTCTCGATTTTAAACAACTGCCTGCTGCATATTTCGCACTATAAAATATGATATAAGTCAAAAAAGCAATAAATTAACCTACAGAGTTCTCCAGCAAACGATAATTTGACACTAAGTAAACAATAAATAAAGACCTATTTATTTTTTATATTTCACTAATCTTTTGTGATAACCAACCTTTACGTTTAATAGCTATCGTTGTGCCCATTATGCTTCAGCCTATAAATTTTGTCCTTTAAACATAATACATAAGGGTTTCACTTTTTCAGCAGAACTTTGCTCTTCGTTCTACTGACAAAATCACACCTTATGGACTACGCCTAAAGGGCAAAATTACAGGTTTAGAAAGTATTTCCTCCTCACAGTTAGTGCATTTTATGAAGTGGTAAAGGACAAATTCCTTCTTACTTCTTCCCTCATTCACTACCACCTTCTTAATATTTCTCATTTCTGCAAAATATTATTAGCATAAGCATCATGTATGCATATATGCAATAAAAGTTCAAAAAAAAAAATCTAGTCTGTTTAATGAGTAAGGCTGGCCAATTATAAGTACGGCCTACTTCTCTTACCTTAGCTAAACTATTCAGTTGAGGATGGGTGATGTTAAGTTAAATGTCTATGCGCAATTTGCCAAGTACTCACATGTTAGCGATTCATTCTTCTAATGCTCATTATAGCACCATTTTAGCTGATATACCTTGGGTTACTATTTACTGCTAAAAAAAAAAGAAAAACTATTCTGACAAGCCTACTTTAAACAACATTCTATTCAGTCCTCCTTACATAAAAATACTTAAAGAAAGGATGGGCTAATTTACCCTAAAATTTATATACCGTACAGATAGATGAACATGGAAATAATTTATACGTATATGTGTGTGTACACTCCTTTCCATTACTGTAATTCTCTTTTTCCTCTTTAAAGCTTCGCCAATAATACTAAGAGAAAAACTTCTTTCTTTTTATTTTTCCTTGTAAAATCAGGTCATCCAAAAATGTTAATGTACTTTTCACAGGATAAATATACAGATGGAGTAGAAGAGAGAAAAGAACCACTAAATACTTTTCATCAAATCCAAGCTAATTAGCCACTTAATGAAATAAATAAGTAAAGATGTGAAAAAAGGTAGACGTACTAAAGAAGGACAGAGATAATCAAGAAGAGAAAAGTTAATATCTGATAAAAAAGGGAAGATGAAATAGGATGGAGTAGTACATACTCAAGTAACACCCGATCATCTGAAATATTTGTTCTGATCTAGAACAATGCGGGAAGCTATGACACAAAGCAGTTAGGCAATATAAGGGAGAAAAATTAAAAAGGAAAAGTCAACTGAGCATTTAGAAACAACTCTTGCATTACAGGCTAATCAAATGCTAATCTAAAATGAAACAGATTAAAAAAAAAAAAAAAAAAAAATCAAATTCAATTAAACAGTTCCTTTTCTCAGTGTTGCAGTAATATCTTGTCTCTACTGATTGAACTATCCAAATTTGAATCTGAATGAAAAAGCAAATGCAAAATTATAATTGCAAAACAAATTCCCATTTGAAATTACTCTTTATTAGCAAAATGTTTAAACCAAATATATAATATAAAAACATGAAATAATTGGGATAAGCAGCTTGAAATCTTTTAGCAAAAATATTTTCGAGTTACACATGGCTTGTAAGAGATAATAAAAGAGAAGTGAATAGTGATAAGCACTATTTTGACACTTAATCTCTGATATTAATATTCCATTAATCATGCATAAGACGTAATAACATTAGAATTAAGTTCTAAGCAATCTGAACTTAGTTTTGGAGGCAATGCGCAAATGGCAAAGATAGTTTTAAATATAACAGCACTTAGGAATGGTTAATACCAAGAAATTCGAAGAACGAACAACATAACCAACAATGCGTAGATGGAATAAAGTGGTAGCTAACATCGTCGGTTACATGTAAAGAATTTTACCTTTTCGTCAATCTAATCATGAAATTTTTAACAGCACTAAATTGATACCATTTATTAGCATTTGGAACTGATTTAGATTAAGCACAAAGTTTGAATTGTTTTCTAGAGCAAATTGAATGAAGTTAGTGGCATAATAGAGCAAAATCAAATAATTTACATTTCCATATAACATGAATTTCAAACTTTTCATTCTCTGAGAATATCATAATGATATACTCAACAATTTTTTAGACATTAGTGAGTTTGATGGTAGAAAATTTATTGAAATTAAGAAGTTAGCCAAGCCAGCTCTGCTTTCCAACAATTATTTCACATTCCATCATGGATTTGTCTTCCTCTCCCTCCTCATTCCTATCCCTCTCTCATCTCATCCATTCCAATCCACCCTCATATACTAGTCACAACAAACAAAATTTATAGCTGAATGCAAACGTTGTCTGTCTGTGTATGTATGTATGTGTCTGTGTGTGTATGTATGTATGTATGTGTGTGTGTGTTATTGGTGGAATCAATCCATACAGGACTATAGGGAATGTAAGAACACTTCTCTTTCAAAAGCTATCTTACCCTTTCATACACATACTCTCACATATACAATTCAAGAACAAACTCTTCCTATCAAATCCGGTCTTCCGGAATACATGAAAAACAAGAAAACAAAGAGAAATGAAAGAAGCTCTGCTTAACCTACTTAGTTCTTATCGATTAATTACAAACGATGAAACTACAGAATGCACTTCCAAAACAGAGAGAGCAGTTAGAGGGAAAATTATTTTTAAAAGTCTTCGACGTAGCACACCCAAATACATCAATCTCAATTTTCATCAATAAGTAGACGAATCATCGACTGTTTCATGCCAAATAAACCATACCTATACATACATCTACGTTCATCTTAAAGACTTGTCAAAAAAGAAAACTTAAAACAGAAGCTATCATTTCAAGGAATCAAATATGTTGTGTAATTTTTCTTTTTCTGATGACACAGTAGCAACAATGGGAAAATTATTACCATTTGAAGGCGACAAAATTATTATGACTTAAAGAGGAATGGTACAACTTTTTGAAGTAAAACTCACACTGCAATCTGTTCTCCTCCCTCACATATTACACAACATTACACACTTTTTAATGTATTATTTACCGGAAAAATTGCCACTTTCTCTGCTAATACATACAACATACATATACATACAACATACATATACATACAACATACATACACACACAACATGCATACACTCACTGTCTGAGAGGACAAAAAAGACTTATCACTTTAGAGTAGAAGGAATGAAATGATGAAAAAGGGAAGTTTAGTATTAAGAATAGAATTAATTAAATGATTCGCTTCATAACAAGTTGGAAACTTAACACTCACTCAATTCATAAAAGGAAAAAAATAGAGATAACATTGTTATGGAATGTATCAAACTCTCAGTTGGACAGAAACTCTATCACTACGAATGAAATTCACAAGGGTTGCAATGCAGTATCAACTATTCTAAAACTTAATTGAACCATCATCCATTAAGGATGATATGAACTTCAAAATGAGATAATTGATTCAACTAGCTTGCAAAGTTAATCTACTATCTTTGGATTACAAAGTTTCACTGTTAATATAGTCCAAAAAGCCGAGATTAGGAAATGACCAGCTATAAGCATGAAGTGCTTACAAAATTTAAAGAATATAATCAGGAATAACGAAAGAAATTTCGTTTCTGATCAATCCGACTAACGTTTGATGACATCTTTCTAGTCCACTCACTAATTTAATTAAACTTATTCTTCTTATTCAATAATGCAAACCAGGGTTCATTTTTTCCTCAAGGAACTTGATAATTCTAAAATAAGACTCTCCTTTCAAAAAAAATTAAGAAAAATATATGTAGCATGGAATTAACTAAATACAAAAGAAAGAAAATCTTTTAAGAAATTAAGTAAATAGAAAGATGAAAGAGAAAAAGCATGAGGAAATAGGCAATAAAGTAATAGTTAAAGTGGTGATGAAAGATGGTGGTTAGTTGAATGTAACTTGCTTAATGTGCTTTTACTTCAAGAAAGAAAAGAGATGCTAGGACATCATCAAATTTCATAAATGATTTATGTTAATCTGATACATATATATATATAATCCAGTTTTATTTTATAAATAAAATTTTATAAGTTTACAAAAAAAAAAATCTTTATTGCAACGATCCTAAAATGAGTGATTAATTTTCTTGTCAATACAACGAAATATGAAATATGGTCAAAATGTTTTGTATCAAGACATTCGAAAGGCTCGATTTGAAAATTTTTTCAAATTTTACAACAAATGTGATCAAATTCAGTTGAATTATTGTCCATAAGCATCAAAATTCAGAAATTTTGTTTTAAAAAATTTTTCCTCAACCTTTGAAGGAAAAACAAATCAGCTAACATGAAGAGAAACGCGTATAAAAAAAGGCATAGAAATTAAACATTAAATACATTAAATTCATTTTATTTAAAATTCATTCACCAACATTAAAACTTTTATATTAAAATACTAACTAGTACATCCTTACTCAACGATAATATGGAATTTTGAAGTTACAAAAATAGAGCAGTAATATATTTCTATTTTGTGATGTTTATTTAATTCATATATGAGTCATACACACATTAAGCTTGCATTATTTGTTTATCGGTTGAAACAATAACAGAGATCAATAGCACTTGAAAATAATGAATAAATTTTTTTTTTTTTTTCTATCCTCTTTTCAAATTCCCAATTGTGATTATTGTAACTAGAATCATCTCATGAAAAAAAAACTAGGCATGAATAAATCTGTCAGTAAGAATAAAGCCAAAATATACTCCTTTCTCTTTCTCTCTCTCTCGTTTTCTCTAAAAAGAAAAACGTAAATAGAAACATTAAAGACTAAACTGACCAACATAAATTGAGTTCCCGTAATGAAAATGGAAAGTATGACCAGTTATCATACTTAAATATTAATAGCTTCCCAAGAAACAGCACTCAGTAGCATCCAATAACTAAAAGATTAAGCTACGTTTCTCAATTAGCTATTTATTTTTCTTTTCATATTTCGTTCGTCACCACTATTTTAAATCTTAACGTATCACATATCACTATGCTTCACTTACCTGAGGTCAACATTTCGGATACAAGCAAGTATTAATAATATTTACTGCAGTAACCACCATTACATGTCTGATTAATCAATTTAAAGAACTCAAATATACTTGCATTCTTGGTAATTTAATCACAACTACTCTGTAACAAACTTAATTACCCATCTCTTATCACTATATTACAGATACTTGGTACTATACATAAAGGTAAATAGCAAATTTACCACCTTTTATACTGCAACCGAATTCAGCCTTAGCATATGTTGAAATTGATAACAATAAGACAAGAAGAACAATAATATTTCTGATCCAATAAGGATAAGGACTTACAGTTTCCTTCACATCTCTTTCATTCTCATCTCTATTATAATGGAAAATAGATATCTATTATTATGATAACAGAAAAATGAAGCGAGGAAGTTTCATATATTTGAGATCTATATTATGGATTCACTAAAAAAATTGATGTTCAGAATATCGAATGCTGATGATTGTTCAAAATTATCCGATTATAGATTACTTGCGGACAAAGTTGATGAGAGATATCTGTTTTTCTATCATTTTGTTTCAGCTAATCATCAAAAGTGTACCAACAACAAAATTTTCAAAAAAAAAAAAAAAAAAAAAAAAAGGAATCCACGTGACAAACTAATCATAAATTATGATCATAAAAAAGCCTTTGCTTCTTAACAGATCATCATTTAGATGAGAAACTGTGTGAAAATATAAATTTATGCAATGATTTTCAGCGGAGATGTACATCTAACATTACTCTAACATAATATGAAGAATTTTAAAATAATAAAAGTGAAACTGTATTTACGAGCAAATTTTAAATAAAAACCACTGAAAATTTAATACAAAAAGTATATCTATTAGGAATGAAAAAAAAAAAAAAAACTGAAAGTCTTTTTGGCATATTGTCCGTTGTAAAACAGATTCAAGATTTTAAAATTAGAATATTAGAATAACTAGATATAAAATGAGAATTACAATTTCTGCTTATTTATTACAAATAAATTATTACAGAATGCTAAATGATGCAAATATTGAACGATAGCTTTAGAAAACATTAAAGATAAAGATAAGTAACTTCTTCTTTTTGAGTTATATTATGATAATATCGCATTCATGTGTCTCTTTCAAACGAGAAACTGTCCCTACTATAACAGTGAAATAGTTATCGATTTCCGAGATAACGAAAAAGATCACAAACGGAATAACAACAACATAATAAGCATGCATTCGGTTTATTTCAAGTTAAATTTTAATTTCAGATACTTGAAAAAAACATCTTTTAAACCTCGTATCAGAAATGCAGTATCATTCAAAAAAAGAACGCATTTATAGTGAAAATATTTACTATTTTTTTCTTTTTTTAAACTCTATTACTATCCCAAAATTAACAACTTTACTTCGACAAATGCAGGAAAAAGTTTTGTTAATTTGTCAAACAATTTTTTGGAAAAATAAAAAGCTGTACTACTTGCTTTATCGAAATATATTGTTAGCAGAACTCAGAGTATCACTGACTACTGTTAACTGAAAGAATCCTAAACTTGGGATTAAGGACAGTAATAGAGAAAATAGAGATAAGTGTTTAAAAAAAGAGGAATCTTCAATCATTAAATTCCTCCAGATCTTTAAAACATTAAAGTTTCTCAATCTTGAAATTTCACAGTTCCGATTTCTCCATACTTTTTTTTTTTATGAATAATCACATTAATCTGAAGCATCAAGAATATTAGGAGCGCAAAAGACGAAGTACTAAATTGTTAACATATAATCAAATAATGGAAAAGAATAAACGGAAATTTTGATTAAAAATTTAAGAATATCTAGTATTCGTACAAGGAATCTAATACAAAAAAGCACTGATCTACTGATTATTAAAGAAAAAAAAACTTAAAATCTTGTTTTTGCTAATGACTTTACAAAAATTAAATACAGTGATTAATCTACAAATGGAAGTATTTCTTAAAAATATCTAAAAAAGAACACTCTCACTACAATAACACAATTTCGCTACTATGAATTTGAAGACACAGTATCTCATAAACTAAGAGAACACTCAATGAATAAATGGTACTGTTATAATGGTAATGGTAAGCTTTATGAACTTTACGTGAAATAACAATTTTTGCAGAAGTTAAACAATATATGTTCAGATCTACACTGGTTGATAAAATGTAATCAATTTATAAAAAAACAAAAAAAAAAAAAATTTTTAGTTTTATAATATTCAGAGTCCGATCAATAATAAGAACCATATCAAGCAACTCACAATCAACTGATTTCATAAATTTCTCTACTGTTTTTTCTATAATTCTCAAAAATGAGATATATTTCATTCCTCTAAATTTTACCAACTTATCTTCTTTGATTAATAAATGATTTCCTATATATGCAGTAAATGATTAATTACATACTATCAATCTAAACGAGAAGAAAAATCTGAAAAAAAAAAAGACACAAGACGACATAAGAAATAAGAGAAAAGGATAAAAACAATGTAAAACTTACCGAGCAATAGAAGTTTGAGTTCACGCCGAGCATTGCGTTTATCACGTTGTAACTGCTTCTCAATTTCTTGATTTATACGTTTCTGCTCCCTTGCCTCCTCGGAAAGGCAGCAGGCCATCGGGGCCGTTTTGGCTGCCCGTAAAATGAACAGTTTTGCCGGTTTTGCGTAATCGTCGCGTGAAATACCGAGTATCACGTGCGGCTACAGTGACGTGCACTCAGCAAGTTGCCAATCAGAAAAATAGTAAAATTATTAGTGAAATTAACACAATGGCAAAATCGCAGTAAAAGTGGAGCAAATAGCAGAAGAAAACGGAATAGCGAGAAAAAATAGCGCAAACAGCAAAACAGCAAATCGATAGCTTAAAAAAGGAAATATCTTCATTGATCAGAAGGTAAAGTTTACAACTGGATGTTCAATCTAATTTGGATAATTCAGTAATGTGATGAAAAGTCAAATTTCTGCACATCAAGTGCTGGCGAATTCTCGATGTTTACCAAATTTTGCGTCCGAAACAACATAACATTGAAGTATTATCTACCGCTTTTTGATGATCTAGCAATGCATGAAAAGTCAAAGTTCTGCACATCAAATGTTGGCGAATTCTCGGTATTTATCAAATTTTGCGTCCGAAATATCATAAATAACATTGAAGTTTTATCTACCACTTTTTCGTTCCGACTACTTTTTAGTGCAAGATTCGGAAAAAAATAAAACCATAAAACTATAAAAAACAATCAGTTGTCAGCGTAACAAACTGCATATAGTTTGACAAAATTTTCAGCATAAATTTTCTTCTATTCAACTTTTGTTTATAGTTATTTGTGATATTCACGGTGTACTCATACCAGTTAAGAATGTTAACAGTTTACAAGTGAAAAATTTTCCCTTCTCTGCATCGTGAAATTAAAAATTGGATTTTTCCCCCAAACGAAATACCACCTCTTTAACTTAAATTTTCATTTAACAAGTAAATGAAATCTACAAACCAAATCAGCGCATAATAGCAAAATCAAGCTCTTAGTTGTTGCAACAGTTTTCCAGAATTTCGCTAAAATCCACTAGAAGGAATGATGGCCCGACGGTCCACATCCAAGAAGACAAGGGGAGATATCAGTGAATTCCACAATCACAGATTGCACCTCTCTATCAATCGTGAGCCTGAAATAAAATTATATATTACAACCTACCAGCAATGAACAATAAAATATTAATTGCAGCAGCAACTTGCAAACCAGTATTCTCGACACGATGATTAAAATGCTAGCAACATAAAAATATACAACGAACACATACCCGAATACCTATCAGGTTAAAAGCACATTAAAAGTTCTAAAAATCCCAATGCAATTTTGAAATAAGCCAAAATATCTTACATGTCCACTGAAAATGAGTGTTTCCAAATAATTTCAAACGATCTGTTCATTATTTTCGAACACAAACGAAGCCCTAACGAAACTTATAATACATTTCTATGGAAAAAAAAGAAGGTAATATTATATGAACTCCTACAAACTTCGGCATGACTAAATTAATTCAGGAAAATTTACCACAAGCATCAGTCAGGGTAATAAGTACGTGTCATTATATATGGAATAACAAGAAACGTAATTATTACATATTAATATGAAGAAACACAATAACACCAGCGTGAAAGGTACATAGAACGGATTCTCGAAAGAACAATATAAGGAAAATATGCACACCACACACATCGACACAAATACATACACGTACATAAGACATAAACACGGACGGTCTTCCTGAACTTATGTCTTCTTATTAGTCATAATGTCAACAGCGACGACGACGGCGGCGACGGCGACAACGACGCCCACAACGACGTCAATGATGAACAGGCATTGATAGAAAAATTGGTGTATGTGTGCATCTATGTGTATGTGAGACAATGTCGAAAGTAAGGAAGAGACGGAGTTGGGAGAGATGGAGAAAGGGTCGGGAATGCCTTAAACAGGGACAAACATGACACGACACGCAGGACACGTGGCCTACTGCTAAGTGTCCCTCCCGCACTCAACCGAACGTCCCACACCTCACCACACACTTCCCTTTTCGCATCTTCCAAAAGACATACACACACATACTTACCAACATACATACATACACAGACACGCACACGTACATACATACATAGAAACAAACATACGCACACAATGCATACACGCACAGAGACTATACGAATATCATATATGTGTAAAATTATATATATAGGGAGGTGTGTGTGTGTGTGTGTGTGCCTGTGGATATTCTATTTCTTGCAAACTATTGCGAGAGAAGTGCATGCATGCGTGCATGTCTGGCATGCTAGGAATAAGCTTGAAGTAGATAGCAGTGCGATATATCGCAGTGTATGAAGAAATGTTACAGACAACAAGCCTCTCTCCTCGTCCCTTACTCTCCCGCTTATATGTCTGCAAGCTATTTGCACCACATGCACTTTTCTCGGCTAACGATGCATAAGTTTGCCATTCTCGAATGCAATCACCCATTTCCTATATCTCTTTTCCTACCCCTTTCTCTTTCTCTCTCTCTCCCTCTCTTCGTTTAACTCGAACTTAAGAATTATTTTCAAGGATGAAGAAAGGAAAGGCAAGGAAAGAAAGGGAAAAAAAATATGGAAAGGAACGGAATTCAAAAGTAAACACAACATTTTGTTTGCAATGTTTCTACAAAACAAAGAAAGAGAAACGGATAAAATGTAGATAGTCCATATCACTCTAATTTATGCTTGGCCTCATTAACAAAGTTGAGGCTCAGGCTCAAAATCTACTGAGTCATGCCTTTTTGTCCCTAACCGCCATACCACTACCGCCCCGCACCGCACCCGTAGCTTCTTCAGCCATTGTATAAGTGTATAATATCATGTATAAACCGCAGCGCTATCCCATACATTATTCTATTCCCATACAACACATACACACACATACATACACATACATAGATACGTGCATGCATGCAAACAGCAGTAGTAGCAGCAGCAGGCGTGTATAGAGAAGTGCGGTAGAAGATACCTTGGAGATGGTCTCGGTCTCGATCTCGATCTCGATCTGTAGTGTTATGTGGTTGATGACCTTTTCAGTCAGGTATTCTCCATCTCTCAGAGAACTTTCAACACTGCAAATTGCCGTTCAAACCAACTGTTAGTGAAAAATCCCAAGACAAATTAGAAAAACTTACTTAGTTTGCTATTTTACCCACAAATATTTCGTGTCACAATTAAATGTCACATTTACCTGTCATATCATATCTGAAATTGCTAGTTAATATGATCGTACGTTTTCGAATGATTTAAGAATTTCGTGCAGTAGGGTAGGTATGTCTAATTGTAATGGTAGAACAAAGATAAATGTTTGTGATATATAAGTTATTAACAGAGATCGAGAAACATCCATCTTTATTATGCATTCCGGAAAATTGCATAAACAAACCGTTTTTTATTTTAATTAGCGAGTTAGCCTTTATTATGGAGTTACACACCCTAATACAATTAAGCTATTCATCTTCAACTTATTTCCGATCACTTTCCGTAATAGCGATGTCCGCTTAAACGTGTGCTACGCTATGACCTCTTTTTAATTTTACCTCTAACATTAACGGAATAATGAATCATATTTTAAAACAGTCATGCAACAATGTTATTATCAACAATAGTGCTGAAGAGATTTTTCATGCATTTCGATTTCAAATTTACAAATTTCGCTCTGAACTATCGGCTATTACTATAAAATGCATCAAATGTATTTAAACTTTACAATCTGTAATCCACTGCTAAATTAAGAAATTCAAATTAATGTTTACTTGAAAGAAACTATTCAAATCTCTAAAAGTGACAGAATCTCATTATTGATATAGTGTACTATTATGCACTGTTATATTCAGTTCCAGGTCATATTAATTAACAATCAATTTAAAGACGAAATCATAGCTTCGTCAAATTTACATCTCTCAATCATAGCCAAATTCAGTGGATTTAGTCTTTTCAATCAACCGTCCACAAAAATCACAATTCCAAGCAATTAAAAAGCACTCATTGCAAGGAACACACTATCTAACATTAGTCTTCATTCTTCTACTTTAAATAGTCAAATCATTCTTGTGGAAAACATCCTAAACCTAACAACCTATGTAATAATATGAACAAGAAGCTTCGAACTATTATATTTCTTTCCCTAAGACAAAAAAAAAACTTATAAAACTAATGGTTTTTTTTTTTTTAAACCTTAATTTTAGAAGCACTTAAAAGTTCCAACATTCCCCTCTGTCACGTAACTTATTAACTGATGGAAATACTAACCCCCAGCACAAAAAATTCCAGGCATTTGCGATAAAACAATGCCATCATAACAGTAATGTTTTTGTCAAGAAATTCCAGAAAAGTGCCAAATAATTGAGCCCATGAAATCTGTATAGAAATTCTGTTTTGGGCAACACTAAAACAGCACAGCAACGATAACTGTAACACATGAAAATTCGCAGAGTGTTTCTACAGGAAACAGAAAACATACTTTATTAGATATATTCAACATATCATATGATATCCAAGTATCTAAAACAAAATGGAAACAACAGACAGTAAATTTACGTAACGTCATTTATTCAGACAATAAAAATAATGAATGAATGATGTTTCCGACTTTCGATCAAAATACTTCAACAGTCGAATGCAGAAAAACGAATGATAAAAAGCAACTGGTTCATATTAGTCCTGAATAAATTCTCACAGAATGCGGAAAAGAAATCAAATTGTGAGGCAATAAAAAAAAATTCGCACTATGCATTACTGAGACAAAATTAATAATCTTGCAAAAGGCAAAAAAAAAAAAACGAATTTCAGCATGTGTTTGCATTTTACACATATTGGTTCGAAATGTAAAACTGAACCGAAACAAATTTTAAGTATTTTAGAAAAAAAAGAACTTGCCTACAGAAAAATACATTAATATATTTGCAAACTTGAATAAGTTTTACTTCATAAATTTGGGGGGCTCAAAAGATGACGAACATTTAAAATTTAACAATTGAAACTAAAACAAATTAAAAATCGAACATGGAAATAAAACAATACTTGGGAAAATAAGTTTCACAATTAAAAAACAAAAATTTGAAATCTTCAAAATTGTTGTTTAAAAGCCTCTATAAGTCAAACAGACAGAGATGTTTCTAAACTTGTTCCATATGTTCGATATTCAGAAAAATTCCATGAAAACTAAACATTTTTTCTTCAAAGTTTCAAAATTCTTCTTTGTTACCTTCACCGCGTTCTAATTCGGCATAATTCTGCACGACGAAGAACATAAAAATAACTGCTGTTATAATAAAAAGAAGAGTAAGACCGATTTTTCCATACTTTCGTGATGCCTTTTGTTTATTCACCAAACTGTTACATCTATTTCCGTGACCACTGTAGAAATTTTCAAACGCTACACCTGAATTATAACGTGATGTTTGATTATACTGAGTTGCCGAATTTGCATCCAGACGACATCGTGCCATCAGATCTTGTTTTGAATCATATTCAGCCGAATACGCATGATCTTCTTTCCAAGTAGGCAACAAAATACGTGAACTTTCTTCGCCACGTAAATCATCATCGGAACCATCGTTAACTATCCCATTTCCCCGATTATCCTAAAATTGTTTTTCTTGCACTTGCAATTCAAGCATGTCACAGCTCTAATTGTGCAACTTTACATAATTTATTACCATCATTTCACCACTTCAGATCTGATATGCAGAATGAATTAATTTTAGGATCATAAAATTTTCCGGCACCCAATCTCCAAGGTTCAGGTCAAAATAGGTCTATCTCATTACTATTAACCAAAAAAGACAGAAATCCTTTCCTGAAATCAAAAAGAAAAAAACCTTAAGTTACTCAACGGCACATACTTACTCGTAAAGATGTGAAACGTGTTGTAGGTGTAGTACGGTAAGCTTCTGGTATTGTTTCAAACGGATAAGGTTTGGATATTTTGGAAGATGTAACATCCAGAGATGCGGATTCAGAAGTTACGCTTGACTTTGATAGCAAACCGTGAGATTCTCCATCTGTGCTTACTTCCGAATGAATTTCGAATTCGGTATCTGCATGCGATTTTGGAGGGATGGGAACAGCTGATTGGACAACATGTGATTTGGGTGATGACTCTATGAAATCGGAAAATATGCGTGACTTTGCTGGAGAAAAACCAGCAGTTTTCGGCAACGCACGAGATATTTTAGAATTTAACGGTATACTTTGAATCTTTGATAAACCAGTTACTTCTTGGGCAGAAGAACGAGTAATACGTCTTGGTGACTGCGATATTTGTGAACTGTGTGATATGTTCTTTTTTGGTGAAGATTTAAGACTGTCAGCTCCTATAGCGTCAGATGTTACTTTCTGTAAAGTTTATCACTTATTTAAAATTATTTGTTTAAACTAATATTAACTCCAAATTAACTCCAGTTAAATACCATCAAAAAAATCATTCAGCTTAACCAGCAATTTTTGAGTTATGGCGACGTTCAGTAATAATCTATCTACCTTGTATCCTGGTCCTTATAATTTACCCCATATCTTTGCACTGTAATTGATGGATTTAATTTCCTCCACTTCAAAAATTGTTGTGTCATTGCGAGAAACGATCAGTTTCACTAGACTTACCGCAAAATGTTACATTCATAAAGACTGACACAAGTTATGGCGAATATGCAGTTACAACGAAAAGAGAAGGAAAAATAGCCACCAAAATGCAGAAGTCGAACAAATCATAACAGTACTGTGCTCGATGGATAACCACAGTTTTGAATTATCAAAAAACTTTCAAAAAAATTTCATTGGTTTAATAACGCACCTCAGGTGGTGCCACGACATCCGATTCTAATCCATCTTCTAACAACCGCCGTAACTTATTTGCATAGACGTTTCTAGTACTTCCGACGACAGGGCCGGGATCACAACCATGTGTCATAAGCTGTTCTCGGATCTCTTCATTGGTAAGCTGATCTATATCCACCATTCTGATCAGAAAGAAAGAACTTGATCCTGCTCGAAAAAGAAAATATACAAAAGTGATACAAACCAAAACCAAAATATATTGAAAACAGTGAAATAAGGAGAAGTGAAAAAAAGGAAAGGGAAAACAAGAGGACAAGTACAAAGACGAAGTACATCACTTATGTTTCATTCATATATTATTTCCGTTTCATTACTAAAAAATTTAAGATTTTCAAAGAAATATCGTGACCAAGGATATGGCAATTAACAAACATGGAAGTTAAGTTCAGAGAGCAGCGCAGTTAGTGGTTACTTAAATCTCAAAATTTTCGTTTAGCATTCAAAGCAAAATTTAAGAATCTAAAAGTGAATAAGCTAACAGAGAATAAACATCTAGTCAGCATATATCACACGACAGCATGTAAGAATGTCATCAGTCATACATATATATACGTTGTAATACATGCTGCACAACTACAACTCACTGACAATTCCTAATTATTACGCTAACCAACAAACAACCATACACCGGCCTTACTCCGAGAGTAACATCCCGAATTCCGGATCCGGTGGAAGAAGGAACCAGGAACCACTTCCCCACCTCACAAGCATCCAGCAAGTCCTCACTTTAAAGTTATTTTAAGCGCTACAGGATATTGCGCGTAAGACACAATGCGGCTCGGACCGAGTATTTCGCGGCTCACTACCATCCGGATCTAATTGAGTTGTTTGAGTAAGCGGTTGGGTTGTGACAGTAACTGAGGGCAGAGCCTTCGAATAATTTCAGGATTAAATTTTAGAAGTTGAGTCAAAGTTTGGGGTAGAAATGTGTTGCAATTTATTATTGGAATGTATATGTCGTATTAAAAATAGATTATAAGATTAAGACTTCAAAAACTTAATGTTAGTGAGCATAAAGTAATTTCCTATTCCATAGTGCTCATAAACTCAATAATTGATTGGTGAATAATTAGCCAAATTTAAGAGTAATTCATCATTGGATGAATTTTACCTCTCTTTCAAAATAGTTAGTTATCTCATATTCTTATCATAATTGACAAATCCTTGTTTCTGGTATGGTTGATTCATTGCTATCATGGATTTAATTGGTTAGTATAGCTGATATAATTTGCTCTTATCTTATATAAGCTCTGTTCGGAATTAATCCAAATTTTTTAGCTGGAAAAGAATAGTTTTTCAACTAATAATGAAACCTCTCACTTTTTCAACAATGTATGACTAATATTTTGGGAAGTCAACTCAGAGGAAAGACAAATGGAACAGGTTTTGAAAAACTTTTTGAGTTGATTCCCAGAAATGATTTGAAGTTTACGCAGTTCATGGAAAACTCGATATTAGTAAAGCGACTGTTAATAAATCGATAATATGATCACGTATTAGTAGTGTATTGATTTTGTATTGCCATCTCTAATAAACTGCTTACAGATAACTTATAATTTGTAATATATCTGAGCCAGTAATCTCCGGCAATAACTTCGTGGTGTAATTGGTAAGAATAGATAACTTAGCTATCAAATACCAAATATTTAAATTTCTGGCTTTATCTTTGATTGTTAAATTGACCGTTAACCTAATAAGTTAACATAATAAGTGTTATGTTCGACAACAAGATTATATGTACATGTAAATAAATAACATTTACATCAATGTTTGGTAATAGACTACGTTAATTAATTAATATATTGCAATTTATATTAATATATATATTTTTTATGTGTTGAGTTACTTGATCCTTTTGTGCAATTTATTTTTATTAATGTATATTTTTCTTTTTCCTTCTTAATGGTATTGTTTTATGGATATGTTCTGCTTATATAGGAGCAAAATAATATATTAGTAATAAAGTAGTATAGTACAATGGGTAAACAAATTATTTGTTGCTTTGGAAGGTTAGGATTTTATTCGCCAAATATCCTGACGTTTTATTTTGGTAATAAAGATTGTTGTTGTGTCTGACAACAAAATGCATATAAATAAACAATGTACTTAATTACTACTTATATGTGCCAAATTAACACGTTTCACCAATAATTAGTAATTTAACCTGCATTGATTAATGAATGTACTTGATCCTTTTTTATGATGAATTTCTTTAATGAGAAAGAAAGGAAGAAGTGGTTTATGACTAACCACAATTGGAAATTCCATGTCTTTATGATGATTTACCGTAGATTGAATAACTAATTTTACTTTATTAATTTTTTTTTTTTAATTTAAGATGTTGGAAGATGCAAATGAGCCATGTGAAATGACTCATTCACATGTGGAAGACGATGTGTGCTTTGATTTAATCTTGGGAAGGCCATTACTAGAACATGATTACTTATCCACCAGTGACCCGATGCTTACCAGTTCACTGGCAAAAACTTTTGATGCTGACGCACGGCTTACTGCTATCATCGATGATGTCGCCACTGCCGATTTATCTCAGATCGGTGTTGGACCGAATGATGTGAGTTTGTTCTGTTCTGTAAAATTGCTGGATAGAATTTAGGGTTTTTGATATAAAGTTTTACATTTGGAACAGTATGGATGAGTTTGGATCGCGGACTAGTTTTACTAGATGAAGTATTGGAATTTTTTACAGATTATTGAATTATTAGGAGTCGGAGTACGTAACGGGGATATTTTGCCAGTGCTTTTGGATTATTAAAATTATTGACTTTTTTCGGTAACTATCAGGAGAATGCTATATTAATTAGTCGGACCTAATTAATATGATTGTAATTCATGTACAAGTGAAATTGTTGTAGCGGTAGCGAAATAATTATAATTACTATTGGATTAAAAAATTATAGGCCAGGAATAAACTAAAACTGATAAAACTAAGTTTGAAATTTCGAAAAACTGGAATTATTTATTCCTATGTTCCGCCTAAAATTGTTCCGTTTAAAGTTGGAAATTTTGCAAAGATTGGATAATAATTTAGGGTTCTCCAAGTTTAGCATCGTTGAACAGCAGTATTATTCAGCAAAAATGGCTATCGATAACGCCATTTTCCAGGAAAAAAGCTACTGTATGTTGATTAATATATTGTTCAGAATTAAGACTTTTTCCATTAAAATATTACTCAAAATTAAGATTTTTTTCCATTTATTTTTTCCATGATATATTTTATGTGCTTGGACATTTCAAAGTGTTAAGTGAAATTCAACATCGCTCAAGTTCTATCTTTTTTTTTATCGAAAGCTAATTAATTTAGCTAATGCACTCTTTCGTAGGAAAATATCAGAACTACTCCTTAATCCGACAAATTGAAAATCTTCATAATTTAAAATTTTCATTCTTCTATTTAGATTGTTACTTGTGAATATTGTGGCATTGTTCTTAAACATCCTTCGAAAATTGAAGCGCACCGGCGGACACATACTGGCGAAAAGCCATTTCAATGTCAGATTTGTGGTTCAAGGTCTATATCTCTCTTTTTGAACTTCTTCAAATAGATACATACTTCTTGAAGTATATATATATAATCTTTTTCGACAATTTCATTTTTTTTTTTTTTTTGAAAGATGTAGATTTATGTTATTGTTGCAGGTTTACACAACGTACACCGATGCGAATGCATGTACGACGTCATATGGGCCTAATGCCTTATGTGTGTTCATGGGGATGTGGTAAACGTTTCGTTTCAAATGCACTAAAGAATGCGCATGAACTGAAAAGTCATATGGGAGCCAAAAGGTTGGCGTGAATTTGTAAAATAATACTGAATTTCGAATTCAAAGTAATGATCTACGGCATGAATGAATTCAACGAATAAAATAAAAAATATCAGCTAATGTATCTGGTCGTAATTCAATTGCTATTTTTGATTTTTAGACGTGGTCCACCTCGGCCTCATCTTAAGCCACCAAGATGTTCTATGCCGATGAATGTAATTGAAAAAACTGATAATAATGAAGGGATTGCTAACGTTTCTGATTGTCATGCACGTTCGAATGAACAAATATCACTGAACTCGGATATTGAGAATAGGCAACTGAATGAGGTATATCAAATGATATTTTTTTCTTTTAAGAAAAATTTTTTTCTGGGATATATGATGGTAAATTAAAATATTTTATTAAAATTTACCTAATGAGTGTTTAAACTTTTAGCTGCTTTAAAAACTTTTAATTCAATTTAATCTCTCTTAATTATTTATTACAATTTCTGAAAATTTTTGATTAATTTTCTTGATTACACGGAAATTTATTTTTCCTAGTATTGTAGATAGCCGAAAAGGTTGTTATTTCGAATTTCCCAGCCGAACAAAAAATTAAAACACACCGAAAAAGAGCATTGATTGCTCGATGTCAGGAATGTGGTTTACTTCTGAAACATCCTTCCAAGATTCAAGCACACATGCGAACACATACCGGTGAACGTCCATTCGAATGTGCTTTATGTGGGATGCGATTTGCAACTGCTAATCCATTGAGGGTACACTTTCGTCGTGCACATACAGGCTAGCTTTTTCTCTTCTTTTCTTGAAAAGAAAAAATCCCTTTTTATCGTCAGTTCGTGGTTATTCTTCAGCGTTGACTCTGTTATAGTTGTTTGATCAATATATGCGATACTAAGACAAGTTAGTATTACGTCATTTTATAAATGGCAGTAAAGCTTTGTATAATTTAGGCCATATGTTCATACCCGTAATATGATTTACTTGTTAAAGTATTGTGTCTTTTTGCAACAGTAGTTATTATCTCTTGATTTGAAGAAGTTACAAAAAAAACAGGATCCAATTTCATGAAAAAAAAAGAGAAGAACATGAAGTTATTTTGAACATTACGTATCACTATGCGTAAGATATATTATTTAGTGCTAATAGATATTGGGTTTTTGATATAACAAATTTAATGAAATTATGTTGAAACAAATAAAATTTCGGTTTGTTGTCTATATGAAAGTAATTTTAGGTGAGAAGCCATTTGAATGCACATGGGAGTGTGGACGACGTTTTGTTTCAGTATCAGCCCGTAATGAACATGAACGAATCGTACATGCAGGCATCAAAAGGTACAGATGCTTTGGAAATTTTATTCATTAAAATCGAGAGAGGAATACAAGGGCGATAAGGCGTTAAAGTTGATTCTCTTGACTTAGCTAAAAGACATCACTTTTTCAGATATCGTTGTTCAATCAATAATTGTCACCGTTTGTTTACACGGCGTCGTTATTTGATAATGCATCAAGCAAAAGAACACAAGGATGTTACGCAACAAGCTGATAACGCTATCCAGTCTGTCCTGGACATGGTAAAACAGGACAGAGAAGAAACCAAGGCGAACACAATGTGGTCTTCTGAAATGTGAGCTTTGGAAGTGAATTATGTTAAATTGTGAGGCTATAAATTCCGGAAAAACAAGTATTTTAAAGTTTCAAAATTCTTGTATCAAGTTTCGAATTTCCGAATTTGATTTTCATTAGCGGTTGAACAGCAAATGATTTCTTCGCATTTGTAAAATACTTTATCTGTTAAAGGAAATTCATATTGCAGACCAGATAACGGTAGTATAGAGAAAATTTGGATCGAAGAGAGAGTTTTAACTGGGGAACAGGTCTGTTGTCATTACTTTCATTTCATCTTTTTATATAAATTATGGTTCTTTTTATACATTTACATAATTATTGAGCAAATTTGCTTTTTCAAAATCTAACAGCGGATTAACGGATTAAATGACTAACATCATAAGTTTTTCCGGAGAGCTTGTTTGTATGCAAATTGTACACTACAGACAGAAATGCACTGTATTGAACATTCACATGGTTCTGATATTCAATTTCATCAGGTTGAAGAACAATATCTTAATATTGATGATCAAAATGGCAATGCTTTGCTTGAATGTGCCAGCGTTACAGTTGCAAAAGAAGAGGAAAATGATTTGTTGAATGATGAAAGCTGTCGACAGGTTGTTTCATTGTCTTTATTTTATCCATACTGAATTTTGGTGTCGAACAAAAAGGAGACATATTTGGAGATCATTGTGACTCAGTCTTGGAGGAAATAAACTTTCCAGTCGTTTAAATATAACTTTATGATATACATTTCTTAGAAGAGGAGGACATGGATGTACAAGATGTTAGGTTATTTTAACGGTCGTATCTTATTTTAACAGTTTGTGAGATACAATCGACCCAAAATATCCATAAGATTGTGGAAACGAGAAATGCTATTTTGTCTGTTTAAAATGTAATTCACTGTTCAATTCTTCTGGAAGAATCATATGCAACTGCTTTTCTCTTCTCACACTTCTGTTTTTCGAAAATGTTTATGATTTATTTTAAGGTGATAATTGATGAAACAGATGAGGATGTTGCGCTGGAAAGGAATTATTTTGTGGAAGCAAATGAAATATATTATCGTAATGGAATTAGGTTAGAGTATGGCAAACAGGAGCACCAACAGCTGTCTGATGATCGTCAATTTGTAAATGAGACAGAGTCGTCTATCGTTTCTCCTGATATCTGTGTAAGAGCAATAGATAGGGATGTTTATTCAGTTTGCGAGGAAAGTACCACAGTTTTGCCTAAATATGGTCGAGTTCGAATTATTAAACCAGTGACGAAAATAGGTTGAAGATCACAGCACTAAGTCTGGATCGTTATTTGTTTAAACGACAGCTGATTTTTTTGTTGTAAGTATTTGCATTGTAATTGACTTTGTACTCTAAATAAACAAGTAATGGCTCACTGAATGTAACGAATTGAAAAGGAAGTTCTGTTGGAATTTTTTCTTAAATATTAAGTTTTGGTGTTCGTTAGAATTGTGAGTTTTTTTTTTTTTGATTCTTATTATATTTTATGTATAGGAATTTTTGATATTTAAGATTTTATATTGTAGGTTTAATAACAGTGAACTGTACTACTTTTGAGGAATGGTTATGTAAGCCTATTCCAGTAAAATATTCAACTTAATATATTCATTTTGTTTACCTTACCAAGTGTCTTTGAAATCTGCAGCAACAAATAAATATCTTTCATACAGTAGTTAACTGATTTATAGTGCTAAACGCAAAAATCACAAACTCAAAATTGCGGATAGTTCTTTGCAAAATTGAGATGTGAAAATAAGTGTAATTCAGATTATGCATGTTATTTCTATCTGGAAGGAATCTTTGACTGCAAGACTTTTTGAAAGTATCTTTATCGGTGTATCATAGAAAGGAATGCGGAATCGTTATACCATTTACGAAAAGTTCATGAAAACAAATGATTTCGGGAGAAAGTTCGATGCACTGTATCATCTACATCAAGCTCATCAGCAAATCGCAATGCTTCGAAGCTTTGTGGTGTGAATGCGATTGTGTCACGTCGTTTTTTTTGATTGCAAAAATCAAAGCACAATGGATTGTATCGCACTTCATTCAAAATCTGCAGCAAATATTTTTGGCATTACGAGTGCACTTATTCGTTTATCAAACAGTATTTTTAGGAGAGACAATGTTTCAGTGGATGGGACGTTATCTTCACAACAGTGCTATTTGTTTGTCCTAAAGATAATGCGCAAATATCTAATGTCACTTTTGCGATAGGTGGTGATATCCTCTTGATTAAAGTTATGATCTGGAAGAGATGTACTTTAGTCTACTCGACAGTTAAGTTTGCTAGTTATTGTCCAACATTTGTCGATAATATTCCATAAATACAAAACCAAAAAAAAAGAATGAAAAGAACAAACCCCCATAATATCTTCCGAAGTTATATTGTCTTTCTCGGGATGTAATTCACGGATTGCAATAATAATTTTCAACATTTCGGTAAGTTCTATCTTAAAAAACTAAGTGATGTTCAGTATGATAACTTCAAATTGAAGTTCTAAGTTGACAACAAACTGTCTGCTAAGTTGTGGTACTAAATTGTTGATTTCATGCAATTATTTGGCGCTAATTTTTTGTTGTCAATAAAAGAGCAATTTTTTTTTTTCTCTTCACATTTATAGTTTAAAGATGGGATCTATTTGACCTAAATCAATAATAGTTGTCAAAAACTGCTTACACCACGTTGTTTTTCTTTCGACATTTGTTGTCTACGCCAGGAAATTTTTCGGCCAAAATAATGAATTTTCATGAAAACAGCTCTCAGTTCTGAAGCTGCCAAATTACCGCACATGGACAATACCGCCAGACCTAAAATAATCAGCATTCATATTTTCCTCTCGTCCAATCCGGAATTTCTGTGTCATTCTAGTGTTTACTCAGTTATGTTGGATTTTTAATAGTTTGTCCAGATAATTCACTGAGTTCCAATTTTAAAAAATAATTTCGTCTGGAAAATAACACAAATTATTTCAGATAAATAAAGCTGCGATAACTACTATCACATCTGGAACATCTTATTATCATTATTATTTAAAATTTTCAATCGAGATTTAAATATATGAAAATTCTTGTTTATAAATTCTCAACGTTAAATATTTTCCTGTCTAGAATAATTATAGAAAGAGTATCAATTATTATAAATTGCTTAACAAATATTAGCATCAATTTTTATTAAATTGAAAAAAAAAAAAGTTTTATTTACCAAATGTGACAAAGATTAAGATGTAGAAAAATGTCAAAATATTATTCAGATCGTTAGGCATTTCAGCCATTGTTAAATTGGCTACCAAATTGAATGTAACGAAAAATGCTTCTAAGAAACTTTTTTGACCACCTGAAAAAGGGCAAAAATTATGAGTAATTCTAAAACTATAGCTTTACCTCTAATAATTTTAGTTCAGTCAATTTTAACAACACTGAAAACGTATCCCTTAATGTTATTATCCAAATCCTAATGTATTTGAAATTGTATTAAATTCATAAATTAACCTTTAGGTTTAGAACTTATTTCATGTATTATTTAATTTTACATTTAAATACTAGCAATTAATTTAAGCGATATTTGATGACATCGTCTTACCAGCGACAGTATAACAAACACCGCCAAGCATGCAAAAGACAAGTAAGATAGATGCATTGACGGATAACGGTAAACGGTTTACTTCATCATTGTCTTCCTTTATTGTCACCATCATTTCTTTACCTTTTCTTTTTCGTTTCCTGTATCAGATAAGATAAGTGTTATGCTGATAATTAGCTGATAATTCCAGGAAACTTTTAAAACTAGCAATGTTGTTACCAAACAATCAACTATTTGAAATTATTCTCTTAGTAGAAATACTATAAGCATTGATTTTTCCTTCATGCTCAAATAGCGAATATTTTTTTCTTATTTGAAATTATGAATTTCAATAACCGAATTTTGGATACATGAGGAATACCCTTCGTTTCCATTAGTTCCATAATAAGTTGCTTCTTCTCTGAACAACCGCATGCTTTTGCAATTTTATGCTTCATCACGCAATACTGCAATATTTCAAAGAGCACTCTTAATCCTATTTCTGAACAAAAATGAATGACAATTATTATGTCAAGCAATAAAAAGAAAAAAAAAAAACAAAAAAAGAAGAGAAAAGTATTCTTTTCTTTTTTGAATTTGAAGGGAGGAACTTTTCCAAAAAGGAACTTCATTTCAAAGCAGTAAATATTGCTTATTTTTAATAATAATTCGAAATTTGCATGAATGATATATTACTTTTCGATAAAGTCGTAAAACGATATCAGATAAGAAACGTCCGATATCAACCGCTGCTAGTACCATCAATGGAATACCCACTAATCCATAAACTATAGCAATAAACTGTCCAAATTTTGTCATCGGTACTGCTGATAAATAACCCGTTGTTGTCTAAAATAAATAAAATATAGCTATTTGTGTGGATAAACATTGGATGCAATTAAAAATGAAATATGAAATGAAGTTTTAAGCATATACCAAAATTGACAAAGCATATAAAATTGATGGTACTGCTGTCCATTTTGGTAAAACCAATTCTTCAAGTTGATTAATATCGGGATTAAGCAGGAAATCGCGTGCTTCCATAAAGGATGATAACCTGCTAACAAATATGTCTTTCTTTTTTTTTCGGTAAACATTTTTATTAAACTAGCAAGTATGAAAAAAGGAAAGAGAGAGAGGGAGAAAAGAAAAAAGAAAATGAATTTGTTTGAATTAAATCTTTATTAGGAAGGAAAGAAGTTAATATAATTCTTTTCAATTATTATTTATTGTTTTTTTTTTTTTTTATTTTATTTTAGAAATATTTTGAGAGAATAAATTGAATACATTTACTTTGAGAGTGTTTGAAATAAATGCTGTCTAAAATGTGATCTTTTCGATGCAATTGAGCATTCTTCACTTGAAATTTCAGCAATTTTCTGATACACATCACGAATGTTGGATAGTTTGATAAGTTGTTGCTCACGATCCGCATTATCTTCCACACTTTAGGATTAAATTTAGATTTTAATTCTTCAACAAGAATTAAATTTAATTTAATTTAAAATTTCAAACATTTTTAAAATTTTAGTGAATTTCTTCATGTGCAATTATTTAAAATAATTTCGATTACATTAACGAATAATTTATTTTAGAAAAATTTCACACAAATTAAATTTTATCATCAAACCAACAATTTAAATTAACTGTAAGAACACTACTGAGATCGTAAATTAACTGGCTGAAAAGACAAATTTCAAATTCAACAAACGTCGCAAATGTCCATGCTCCAGCCATTAGATACAAAAAAATGAAGAAGTATAAGCCACAATGTGGCAAAGCCATCTTTGTAAACTGAAATTTGAATGGGAAAATGAATAATACGAGAAAATGACAGTCATATTTGACGATTGAAATAAATTTTAAGATGACAAAAGATGTCAAAAATCGTCAAAAGTCAAAACAAAATGTTTTTTTTTTTTCCTTTTCAACTGTTGTTATGATTTGATTCATTGGTCTTGAGAAAAAAAAAAACCTTGGAGAATTATAAAATTTAGAATTAAATCTGAAAATTAACAACCTGCACAAGTTTTTGTCTGGAGAAGCAGAAGAAATTCGACATCTTTATTTTAGACGATTACTTTGATTATAATGAAATGAAAGCAATCCGTTACTCATCTGCAAATTATATTGCACCAAATAATTTAATTACTAAATAATTTAATTAATCGCCAAAGATATGTATCAGCAAGCTTGAAGCTTTAACTTTAGTCAAATAGTGGAAAAAAAAAAAAAAAAAAAAAAACATTGTAAAAGAGTAAATAAAAGATTTGAAAATGAAAGCAAAGCACTGAAATGAGAGGGAGGGAATAACTGTGAAGGAAATTTTGCTCAAATTGGAATTGAAATAAAAGCTCAAATTTGTTGAATCAAAACAAATTAATCCATTATATTCCCCTACTGCTTCCTTGTGAAATTTCTGAAAAAAAAAAAAAACTGATAGAATATTTTGCAGATATTAAAATGAAGAGAGGAAGATTTCACAAGAAGTGATAAATTAGAATCGAAATAAATTCAAATTTTTATTCCATAGGGGAAATACCAAATGACTTCTGTGAAAAAGTCATTTTTAAAATTTAATTCCTGAATAGACCGAAACGAGAAAGTACATTCTATCAAATCAGAAAATTGCTTCGCTTTCTTAAATCATTCAATTTCTCTCTCTCTCTCTCTTTTTTTTTTTTTTTTTTGCTCTTTTTATTTGCAAAATTTTTGAGCAATTTTAACAAAAATTTTACGCATGTATTTTACCAATAGCTTTTTTGAATTGTTATCAGAACCGTTATCAGCGCAGAAAGATTGACAACAGTTTAAATCTAAAGTGTTATCGCACAAATCATCTTGAAATGTTAGTTTCTAAGAGAAAATTAATCTTGAAATGCTACCAATAATTCTCGAGAAGGAATTATCGAGAAGCATATCACTGCTTCATCAGCAAATAATGCCTTTAATAAATCATTTTCCAATAAAATATCGCACTCATAGTGATTTAGCTATGAAATTTTTTCTTTTTAGCCATTTTCAAACCACAAATTAAGTTTTTATTTGTTGGGTAAATTTATCATATAAAAACATAACTTCAACAGTTATTTTAAAGTTAAATTTAAAATGACACTTTTATTTGCAAGATGTAATTATTTCGTGAACTGTTTAAAACATTTTTATTTTAATTTGCTAAGTAATTTCATCATGCCATTTCTTATTCAAATAATAGTATGAAGTTTTCGAGAAAGAATGCTTAATTAATTTTCAATTTTTAATATTTCAATTTACCAAATTCAAAAATGAGCGCAAATGGTCGGATTGATGCGCATGTTTGAACATCGTTTTACAACAATTTGGTTGGACGTGGAACAATGACGTAGCAATAAGGAAGGCAACCAATGAGAGAGCAACACAAGACGGACGCTTGACGCTAACGCTGAGTGGTGCGACGCGGTCCGATCGACCATTTGTGAGGAGAGGTGACGACGAGGTGGCTGGGTACTTGTGTGGTTAGATTTATATTCTCGTAAGTTTATTCTCTAGAATATCAGTTCTTCGTTTTTTTTTTTTCCTTTGTGATTTCTCGGGAAAGCATTGAATGTGAAATTGTATCTTTTCGGGGTTTTTGTGTAGTTTAAGCTTTCAGAATTGGAAATATTAATCGTAGATGATTGTTTGCTTTTTTTCATATTGATTTTAAACAGAAGTTGTGCATTTAATTCGTGAGAAATTTGCCATTTACAGCAAGTGTGTTGTGTGATGTTTTCGTGACGATTCAGCGGGCAAATTCGAGGAAAACTAGAAGAGGAAGAAAGAATTGAAGAAAAGTAAAGGATGAAGTAAGATTATAGGCATACTTCCGGAATTGCTGGGGTAGCTTATCAGAGTTGTGAGATGTCTCATAATTGTGTTGTCTTGGAATTTCACGGGTCCCGACCTTATGAAAACAGGTATAGGTGGTGATGGGTAGAATTATTAGTATTTTCTTTGAAATACGAAGTAGTGCAGTGTAAGTTGTACATTTTTGTTCCCATACATTGAGTATATATACTTTAAGTATTTCCAAATTTTATGTTTTCCATTGCTAGACCTAAATATAGGTAAAGAAGGCCCAAATGTTAGACATATACTCTTAAACGACGATTTAAGGTATGTGTGTGGGTGAAAGGACTGCTTGTTATATAATTCCGTGGAATATTTCTGTTTCGTGTAAGTAGTTGTAGTAATTGATTGAAATATCGGGTGTCACATCATCTGGAAAAGTACACAGTGTTCCAAGAGATGAGTGAGTGGAACATTTTGGTTCAGTGAAATGCCATATCAGTAATAACTTATCTTCTCTTGATTATGTAGTGTGGGAATTATTATATCTTAGGACAGGTTTTCTGTGGTCTCTATCCATGGCCACGTATTTGTATATGTATGTGATTTTCACGTCAATCTAATTGTGTACTTCTGTCAGCGTAGTGCACACTTGACACGTTTTTTTTTTTTTTTTTACTGACGTTGTCGATTGGGAAATCAATATGTCAAGCGGCAGTTCTAAAAAAACTCTCATTCACATTTTGGCCTTTTTGTCTGGATACGTTTTTTGTTCCGATGATACTCCAAATCGATTTAGCATCATACTTAAGTTTTTTACATTCGCTTAAATGCGTATGAATATTTGACTTTTTTTTGTTTCGCTTTTTTTGAGTTTTAGATTTTGCAGGTTAATTTTTAAATCTATGATTGATAGGCGAAATGAAGTATAAAAAAAAGGCGACTGCATAATTTAAAGAACTAAAACTTAAAAATAATGAGGTTTTGTTTCCTGCAAAAAAAGAAAAAAAAAACAAAAAAACAAAAAAGGTTAGAAAAATAAAACAAATTTAAGCCTAAGGTTTCAGCAATTCTTAAAGTTTCAATATTTAAATTTATTAATGTCACATTTCCTAAATCATCCAGAACGTAGAACGTTGATATGGGTACTTCGTATAGTAAACGGGTTTTAGATAAAATAAAAGCTATTTGATCTGTTTGTTGGCAACATTTTGCTTAAATTCGTAATGGGTATGAAATGAGAATTTTTTTATTTGGCTTACATAGGAGGAAGAGGAAAAAAATTGAAAAAGGCAAAGCGAAATGAGATTTGGTGCGCGAAAGCAATTCAACGTAGCATCTTGTTAGCTTTCTTCATGTATCATACAGTAGCACTATTTCCATATTTATTTATCTCCGAATTCTTTGAATAGGTATTGCAGAATTTGGGTATTCCTAGCTATTTTGTGAATTTTCAGGATGGCGCAGTTGAGGCTGTTTAATCATGCTTCGGTTTTGAATTTATTCTTATTACTGGTATTGCCGGTAGCAAATGGCGATGGTGATGTGATGAAATTCACAGATGCTGATTTTAAGGAAGGAATCAAATCATATGATGTATTACTTGTGAAATTTTATGCACCATGGTGAGAGTATAGCAATTAATTATGCGATCCTTTGCTTTGTCCTTTTATGTCTGAATGATTTAATTTCTGGTGTGGTTTTTCCACTTGTTTGCAAAATTGCAGTCTTGTGTTTCGGATCCGATTTCTTTTTCTTGGCGGGTTGCTCCATGAAGTTTCCTTTTTTATTAGGCAATTTACTCTTGCATTTTGTAGATGAAAACTTATCTGTAACTTTGATACGAGTTTAAACTGCATTTATGGTTTTTTAGGTGTGGGCACTGCAAGAAACTGGCCCCAGAATTTGAGAAGGCAGCAACAAAACTTTTACAAAATGATCCACCTATTCATTTAGCAGATGTGATTTTTTCTCTTTTGACTCAAATAGATGTCACATTTCATGAAGGATCCTTAAGCCAATAAGTTGTAGGGTATTAGTTTTCCGAAATTAAATCAGACGAGCTAAATAGATAATTGAGATTCATGGCTGTGATGAGGCGGAAAACCGAATCTTGATTAGTTCGTTGAATTAGTAAAAAACAACACAGTGATGGATGGTCGGCATTGATGACCAGGCGTTAATAGTTACTATTACATTTTAACAGAAATAATTATTAAAGGAATTTGAAGGAAAATAAAAATGTATGGGGTGGACTACAAAGTTGGGATTTAATGTTGCCTGCTTCTAAGCTTTTGGAAAACTAAGCATTGATATCTAATCATGGTAAAATAGTGGTAATGGTGTGGCAGCGTAGAGATGGATATACATGAAACTTTTAGTTATTCATGCAAATACTGTCGTATCAAATGAGAAAAAATGGATTGTAAAATGTGTAGTTCAACCAATAGTTTGTTTAAGAAAGCAATCCTGACGGCTTATATTAGTTTACCTGAGATAGATATAATTTGATTTTTTGGATTCAAACTTAGCTTCTCATCTCTATTTTTGATTAAAATAATTGCAAATGTTATTCTACGAAAATTGCAAGTTACAGGTTTTATTTTAAAGCAGAAATATTTTTTTTAGGTCGATTGCACAGAGGAAAAGAAAATTTGCGATGAATTCAGTGTTAGTGGTTTTCCGACTTTAAAAATTTTCCGTAAGGGTGAACTGGCTCAGGATTATGATGGCCCACGAGTTGCAGAAGGTATTGTTAAATATATGCGAGGGCAAGCTGGTCCATCGGCTACAGAGATTAGGACACCACAAGAATTTGAGAAGATGTTGGGAGCCGACGATATTACTATTTGCGGTGAATTCTTTGCTATATTTTAGAGTCAAGATCTAAAATTTAGTCTCTGAGTTAGCCCTGCAGAACCGTCAAATAATTAGATGAAGTGATCTTGTTTTTTTTTTTTTTTTCCTGCATACGGCAGCTGGTCATCATAAAACTGTGAAGTATCAAAAACCATTTAATGAGGTTTACGTTTAGTATTACCTGGGAATTTGATTTTATTTTAACGTATTTTCAGGATTTTTCGAAGGAGACAGCAAGTTGAAGGATTCGTTTTTAAAAGTTGCAGACACAGAAAGAGATCGTTTCAAGTTTGTATGGACTTCAAATAAGCAAATTCTGGAATCAAAAGGATACAACGAGTTGGCGTTATTTTATTCCTTATATCGTTTAAATCTTATTTGCTACATGTTATTATTGATTAGTTCTGGTGGCTTTCAGTGATATTGTTGCATACCAACCAAAGAAGTTTCACAATAAATTTGAACCGAGTGGATTCAAATACGATGGGAATTACGACACAGACAAGATTAAAGAATTCCTTTTACACGAAACGTACGGTAATTTATTTTTAGTCCACCCTTTCCCTCCGTCTTCTAATCGTAGCTTAAAATTAAAGTGTAAGAAAATGTAAGAGTAGCTGGTCTAATTGCTTGGAAAGTCGATTATGCTTGAGATGGGACAAATGATTTGTCTAAATTTGTATGGAACTTCATAGGAATTCTCGTAAAAAGGCCATTGTGCTTTTATTTTTGTTTGATTTTCCAAACAATTTTTATCTGAACATAAGATTTGTAGGAATGGGCTTGTTGGTATACGAACCTCTGAAAATCGCTATCAGTTTGATCTGCTCCCAATGTTTGTTGTGTACAGCAAGATTGACTATGAATTGGATCCAAAAGGTCGTTTAGTTTTTTTTTTTTTTTTTCAGATGCGAACTTTTTTGCGCTTCTAAAATGTTACGACATCTCGTAAAATTGGATTTATTATAGTAGTTACCATTATTCTTTTTAGGGTCCAATTATTGGAGAAATCGTGTTCTTACAGTTGCAAAGGATTACAGAAGAAAAGCATATTTTGCTATAAGTAATAAGGACGATTTCTCATTTGTAAGTATACGGTTATTATATTTTCAATTTAATCAGTTCTTTTCCTTTCATATGAGAAATTTTGTTCATGCCAGTCTTTTTCTTCGTATTTCATTGTTGATTTTTCAAGTCGATGACAAGTTATTCGGTTAAAAGACACCCCTGTCCAATTTAATGGATTCGTTAGGTACAATTCAGCCCAGCGGTTATTCAGTTGTGGTCAGTCTGGAATCTTTTCAGGCGATTGCGTTATTGAGGTGTGTCTTGATTTCAGGACCTTGATGAATTTGGCTTAGCTGGTCGTAAAGATACTAAACCGCTTGTTGCAGCTCGTAGTAAGAAAGGCAAATTCTTCATGAAAGAAGAGTTCAGGTAATTGCTTTGATTACTGCAAATGTGTATTTTTTCATGCTTTTTCTCATTTTTTATTGAAGCTGCCAAAAATAAAGTAGCTTGAATATGGCTATCTCTGCCAGCGACGACCAATTAAAGCTTCAAAAATTGGCATGTGATTAGTTTTCCTGACATGTTATCTACATGAACATGTAAGGTTTGTAATCATCACCCGTGATAAATTGAGTGTAATTAGGTGATAACAAGTGCTTGAAGAAAGTACTCAACTTATAGTTAACAATAAAAAAATATAGTAGGAATAATTTTGAGACCTTGATTCATTTTACACAATTTTATTGGTGATCAAAAATGAATAATTTCAGCGTGGAAAATTTGAGAAAATTTGTCGAAGACGTTATAAATGATAGATTAGAACCACATATGAAAAGCGAGGAACCACCGGAAGAACAGGGCGATGTTAAGGTCTGTTCCCGTAATCCGGTTAAACTTTCAAATCCTTTAAAAATTAGCTGTAAGCAATATCACAAACGTTAATGTTCTCTCCATTTTTCAACATTAAAAAGGAAGTTAAGTGCATTTTATATTATCTAACCACTGATACTCTAGCTCACTTCCTTAGCATAATGGAATTATCTCCTCTTTAGCACAAATAGTCGGTCATTTTCATTGTGGTAATTTTGTTTCGTTTCGGTTACAATATGAACTTTTCATCACAATGAGGAATATTAGAACTTGGTTGTAAATGAAATTTCCTTGAACTCAGTAAGCATTGATATCATCTTTTGACTGAAAATGTTTAGGCGTATTTTCATTAGATTAATTTGACATTAAATTTCTATTTCCTACATTCTTATTCAGTTAGGTTTCAAAAACTCCTGAGATAAAGAAAACTATGCATAGTCATAAATTCCTTTGTTTTCTTTTTTTTTTTTTTTTTATTATTATTTGCTCTTTTGCCGGTTATCGACTGTTAAAATACTAAACCAAACCTAAATTCTTTGAACTTGAGTCAGGTTAATTTCCGCGTTTATTATTTTTTTTATATTCCGAAAAGTTGTTCCACTTATTATTCTCAGGCGATGAAATTAGGAAAGCAGTATCTTGATAAATGGTAGTCGAATATCGTTTCTGTCGTGGATGCCCTTGTGATTATTTCAAATATTTTAGGTTGTTGTTGCTAAAACATTCCAAGAGATGGTTGTTGATGTGGAAAAGGATGTCCTGATCGAATTCTATGCTCCATGGTGTGGACATTGCAAGGCACTAGCACCTAAATATGATGAATTAGGCCAGAAATTATCCGGCGAACCAGGTGTTGTTATTGCAAAAATGGATGCAACGGCTAATGATGTACCGCCACCTTTCCAAGTGCAAGGGTAAGCTTTAACTATTTTTATGTTGCTTTAATTACATTATTTTTATTAATTTAAAAAGAAAATTATGGAAGTATGAAGTATTGTATATTGTAAACATTCGGTGGTGATTGTGTAAATACATGCTAATATAATCAGGATTTGGTTTATTTAAGTGCCTAGCTTGACCAAATAATAGAGTTCGATATACCTATAATTGTTTTCAGTTTGCTGTATTTCAGCACTGCTTAGTCGTTACCAGTGTATTCCATTATATTGTAATTAGGTTAGATTTTATTATGCAGTCTAAATATATTCCTCTTCTGCATCGCAGATGTAGAAATCCGTAAACGGTCATAATAATTTTGCATTCTTTGAGAGAGAATTAACCTGCATACAAAATTTTCCTTATCACAGTTGAATTAGCAATCCTTACCTACAGTGGAAAACTTTTTCTTTTGAATCAGATGCTTCGATTCTTTTACCTGATTCAATGACTGTTCTCCACCATTCTATCAAACAAAGAATGTCGTTATGTCATACCATAACTCTCTTTTCATCATGTATATACTTATAGCTACTTGCCGCACACTGAATGAGATTCAACTATACAGTTGATTACTGAGTGTCATTCCTGGCCGAGCTTATTTTTTATTCTTATTTCATCATTATATCTTTAAAACTTATTTCTTTATACCATTACGACAACTATTGCTCCTCGTGATCTGTTTTCCGCACCACAAATTAATGATTCTGGGCTCTTGAACTTTCTTCGTTACTTTCTGCAAGCTTGAAATTTGGGATTAATATAAAGCATAAGTTTGTAAAACAAATGATGATTCTACCTCATTTTTATCGATATGGTGAAACATAAATGATGACACTCATTTTTATCGTTATTCTTTGCATAAAATCCTTTGCAAGTATTTTTTCTCTGTCGTTTTGTCTGAAGGTTTCGCTCAGATTTGTAGTCTTCTCCATGAAAGTTCTTGGATTTTCACTCACTTCCGTTTCCTGTACATCATTTTCCGATTTCTTTCAGGTGTATTCTTTTGTCCTTAATAGTTCATTAAGTCATAGGCTGTAATGATGATATTGATGAAGTGACATGTATGGTATTTGATAAGGCTTTCACCACCAGTTCTTTTAGAATTAGGCTTTGTACCGGAGTGGTTGAAACCTCCTATTATATTGCTTTGATTTTTGTTTTTAAATTACAGGTTTCCAACCCTTTATTGGGTACCGAAGAATAGGAAGGATAAACCGGAACCATACTCTGGCGGTCGGGAAGTAGATGATTTTATCAAATACATTGCTAAGCATGCAACGGAAGAATTGAAAGGATACAAAAGAGATGGAAAGCCGAAGAAGAAGAAGGAAGAATTATAAACGGTTTGAGTTACTGGTAAACTGAAACTGAAGAATCTACGGTCGTAAAATGAAGAATGTTGGAATGTAAGTTCGCTTATTGCGGACTTATTATAGCAACCCGTTTCATTTCATCCATTGTCGGTTAATGTTAATTGTTATTTAATTTATTGAGTATATATATATATATATTTATTTATTTAAATTTAAAGCCTTATTTGCATTTAATTCTGAATTTCTTGCATTTAAATTTTAAATTCTGATTTAAATTAAATTGGAAGGAGGAGAGGTGGGGCTATTTTCTAATTCATAATCCTTTTTTATGGTTAGGTAGATTTTATCTGTTGATAACACAGTTTCTTGTTTTATTCCAATTTTGCCGTAAACTATCTCGTTATCTAATGCATTGCCTTTCGGCCATTTATTTTCCAAAAACTGAATGGTTAAGTCATAGGCTAGCTCTTTGGCTTCTTGATTTTCTTTCTGTTTCCACTCCCTGAAATATCATACACTGTTGCTGTTGTTTCTTTTTTTTTTTTTTTGATTTCTAACATTCATATTTATTAACATCAGTTATCGGTAAACCATCCGTAACAGGTGATGAATTCACATTTTATGTGGAATCCGACGAACCTCGGTTGCTTGTGCTGGATAGATAAATCATTCCATGGAGCTGTGATGTGAATTTTTGCTTTTCTTTTGGTTCACTTTGATAATTTCACATAAAGTAATTTTTTTCCAGTGCCTTAGGCTGCTTCATCAGTTAGGTTGTTTTATCAATGTTCGTTTCTTTAGCTTAGGCTTCTTTTTAACCTATATATTATTGTTGTTATTGTCGTATCCTTTCTCAACTTCGTCTGTTTTTAAATTTTAAATAAATTTTTTGAAAAGTCAAAATTCTTGCATTTTTGTGTATTAAATAGTACAGGAGAAAATCAAAGGATTGAGAAACTTCCCAAGGTAATTTGTGGAAGAGAGGGAGAAGGAATTCGACAAATTTGAAATTCCGCTTATTCATTTTGTAGCTGAGAGTGTCCCGTTTGGAATATCTTGCTTCTCCCACTTCAATAACGTTTGGGTTTTGTGTTGCGTCGCGACTCGCGTGCTGCGTCTTTTTCCTTCTGCAGTGATGGTGATGATGATGATGATGATAGTGGTGCAAGTTATGGTGATCCCGAAGTCGGCGACGAAGTTTACCAGGGTTTTTGAGGCGATCGAGAATGGTCTTCGTGGGTCGGAACTTCCCTCAGTACTACTTCCACTCCGATAGCTTCTCCAGGTGTGGGATATTTCTCCCGCTAAGTTCTACGTTATTCTTGCTTCTTATTGACGTAGTAACTGTTTATTGATCGCTAATTCTGCACATCGAAAATTTATGTGTGATCGGCATGTGTACGTGTCTGTATTTATGTATGTATGTGTGTGTGTGTGTGTGTGTGTGTGCGTGTATTTCATATGGTTCTATGGTGGCATATGTGATATGTTTTTCGAGATTTTCTGGAAAGATACGATATGAATGCTTTTATTTCCCTGGGTTATAATACAGGCATTTTGCGTTCAAGAGATTTGGGGAAATCAATAACGCCTGCATCTGATATATATATCTTCAATTGAGTGCCTTATGTTGTGACAAGTACAGATCGTATTCCTAGCTTTATTCTAATGTAGAGTTTTATGTTTTTTTCTAACAGACAATACGCTTTGATATTACCAACAGCCTGGGAACTCTCAGCGCTCCTTAATGGATCAGTGGAATAAATTGAAGTCGCATCTCGGATTCTGTTAGCTTATCAATCCTGTTAGCTTATCAGTTGTAAACAAATTAGTCTGCACTCCTTATCACTGCTTCATCCCAACTCGCTTCATCCAATTCAAGCACCACTACTCTTCACGAGTAATTCTCCAAACTTTGTCAACAATCTTGGAACTCTTCCAAGTCCTTTCTATGTGTTGTTCCTGTGCTTTTCGTTTGCTAAATTAGAATTAAATCTCAAATGGCACATTTCCACATGCCAATCACCTTTCCTAACGTAATCTCGAACGTGAAAACCCGCCGTGAAACGACCTCCGCAATCGAATTAGACTTACTGAATTTTGTGCTACAACGAGTAACAGACATTGCAGCACTATAACCTGGAAAACAGCAATACCATTTTTTGGTATTTCTATGTAATGATGATTGTTTTGTAAATGCAAGCTTATGTAAGGGATGGTAATAGCTTAAAAGTTTTGAAAGTCCTTCAAGAAGAACAAAAAGCCCAATACTTTATTTAAAATAAAGTTTGTGATACTATTCCTCTCTCTATCGTTCGAAGAATAATGTGATGGATAAGGAGCGAATTATTTTTGTAGAATAGAAATGAACCGCTTCTAATTCAGTCAAAACTAACTTTTTGCACTAACAATGATAACATTTGTACCCTCATCAGCTGAAGGGGAATACCGAAGAGAGAATAGAAAATAAAATATCTTCTGATATTGGCTGTCTCTATCAGCTTTAGGCAGAATTTCTGTTTTGCTAATTGGTCCGGGATGGATACTAGCCCTTCTGAATGTAAAAACATCCAAACAGACTAAGGAGAAAAAATCGAAAAGAAACACACTTTCTCGGTTGCATGATTAAGCATTCATTAATTAAATTGATTTTGTTGAAAACAACTTTCAAATTTGAATTGATCGCCGTCATAAATCGATTGGATGTTGCATGCATTTTTTTTTAAATTAATGTTAATTTTTGGATAGAATGTTATTTATTTATTTTTCAAAACACACATCACAAATAAAGAACTGGTTAAATGTTATCTTTCTTCATAACTATTTGGCGGACTAAAGGTTCCAAAATCATTGAATTTTTTTTATGAACGTTTTGATATTTCGAACTGTTTGTACGAAATAGGGTATTCATGACAATTTTTCAGAATAATAAGACTCTCCTAGGTCTTTCTTTTTCATTTTTTATCAGTGATGACCTCCAAAAATTTTCGGTTCCACTCATTTTATTCAAAAAGCTATTCTTTAGTCAGTAATTGTCCACATTGTCATCAGCACAATGCCCCTGTTTTTCATTATAACTATATGCAAAAGAGAATTTGCTTTTTTTCCATATTTATTTATTACCTTTATGATGAACTTCTACCGAACATATGAGCAATATTATAATAGTCAAATTAATTAAATTAAAAGTGATATAAATCTGGGTATAAATCTGGGTACACTGATCTGTTACATCACATTAATGACATTCGATACTAGGTGAAGCAGATATGAATTTATCGTCTTTTTTCTCTTATCAGAAAAGTGGGACATCATTTGTACAAATGTTTTCCTTTCCACTAATCACCTAGTTTGGTCTGTCTACCAAAATTGTTGTATAGTTATCGTCGGGAAAAGACTTACTATATCAACTTCATAGTAGACAAGTTTACATGAATGCATGTTTTCAGTATCACAAAAATAGTTATATAAATTTTGATGAAGGAAGTATAATAAGTTTCAGATTGGAAATTCCTATACCTTTTATCGATGATTTGAAGGATAAAAGTAACGGTTTGCCCTGTAAACTGCTGTTCTTCATTTCATTATTATTATATACTATATTTGTATACGATTACTGATGTCACTTTCTGGAAGGATGTCATCATCCTCCACAAGTTCAGATTCAGAGTTTACGGCAGAAAGTAGTGGAAATGAAAGTTTGTCAGATCATCAAGAAACTGCTACAACTGATCTAACCATTCGACAAGGTGTGTTTTTTCATTGTCCCTTATTTCATTCAATTATGGTGAAAGTTAAAATTCGAATATAATAGATTTTATCTATTTAAACATTTTTTACGCTGAAATTTGAATTGATATAAAAAGGCTTTCGTGACAGAGTTTAAGTTGAAATAAAAAAAGATTCCTTTTATATCCACTTTCTCACAATGACACCTGACAACTGCATTGATTATTCTTCTGAGTCCATCTAGTAATTCACTTTTTGATCCTTGCTCACTCCAGATATGAAGAAGTGAGTTTTAGAAAGTTGCAATGATTGAAGAAAATTTTTCCAAAAAAAGGAACATGTAAATTTTTTTTTTTTTCCATTGAAACATTCGATTTGATTATGATTTAAGGAAAAACGGAAAATATTAGCAAGTTGTTGATTTCTTATGCTTCCAAATTCAAAAATTACAAATTGCATTATTCTGAAGAATTTAAAAATCTTTTCTAAATTTCAAAGGATGTGACTAAATTTCTTTAAAGAGAAAAATTAGTTTAATTGTCTAGAAAGATATTTGTTCCTTTCATATTTAACCAATGAGCTTATAGGACATGGTTGTGAACAGGTCACTTATCCAGAAGGAGCTAATTGCAAAAATAGAAAAAATTTCTCTTATCCTCTCTTTCTTTCTTACGCTATTCCTGCAGTTTAATAAAATCGTCAAAATAAAGTATCACTTAAAACTCTTCTCTTCAATCATCAATTTGTGCATTCTTTGATTTCGTGATTTCCTCTTAAAAAAAACAGAATCTTGAAAGAAGATGAAATTTCCACTGGACATAGGGCTTTCAACGCGAATTGTTTTGTAACATATTTGAAAATGGGAAAATCCCACTTCGTGAGAAAACATGAGGGAAGTTGTTGGTGGGAAACTGTTGACAGATACACAAATACTTTCTTCGAAAGATATGAGAATGAAAATCTTAACAGAAGAAGTCGATAATTCTTCTGTTTAATAGTGTAGTACTTAAGTTAGATGGGGAAAGTATTTTGCATCACATTCTATAAAATAAAATTCCTTGAAATTAAAAAATGCCTTTCTTCTTTTAGAATCACCGACAAAAGATAATGGAATCAATACAGCGGGGAAAAAATTTGAGGAAGGCAAAGATGAAGAAATGTCATCTTTTGGAAGTTCAAGAAGTGACTCGGATACGAAAGACGGTGAAAGTGATGCTTCCGGTTCGAAAAGTAAGAATAAGTGTTAGCAGAGATTTCTTTTTCAGCTCTCTATATTACTTGGAAGAAATAATTTTACT